ATAGAATCATATAACATGTACCTTTTTGTTGCTGGCTTTTTTCATTTAGCGTCTTTCTGAGGTTTATCTAGGCTGTAGCATGTATCAGTACTTCATTCCTTTTTATGTCTGAAAAATATTCCATTGTATGCATATGCCACATTTTATTCATCCATTCACCCACTGATGGATGTTGGGGTTGTTTCCACCTTTTGGCTATTTGTGAATAATGCTGCTATGAACATTTCATATACAAGGGTTTATCTGCCTACCTGTGTTCAATTCTGAATATCTGTAGGCAAATCTCAGAGATATTGTGGGTTCAATTCCAGTCCATGGCAATAAGATAAATGTTGCAATAGAATCAGTCACACTAATTTTTTGGTTTCCCAGTACATACAAAAACTATGTTTACACTATACTGTAGTCTATTAAGTGTGCTAAGCGTTATGTCTAAAAAATGTACATACTGTAATTTGAAAATATTTTATTGCTTAAAAATGCTAACAGTCATCTGAGCCTCTTCAAATGAGTTGTAATTTTTTGCTGGTGGAGAGTTGTACCTCAGTGTTGATGACTGCTGACTGTTTAGGGTAGTGGTTGCTGAAGGTAGGGGTGGCTGTGCCATTTCAGGAAACTACTTTTTTTGCTCATCCATGGAAGCAACTCTCATCTGTTCAAGTTTTAGCATGAGATTACGGTAATTTAGTCACATTTTGAGGCTCCTCTTCTAATTCTAGTCCTTTTGCTATTTCTGTCATATCTGTAGTTGCTTCCTCCACTGAAGTCTTGAACCCTTCCAAGTCATTCATGAGGGTTGGAATCAACTTCTTTCAAAGCCTTGTTAATGTTGATACTTGGACCTCCTCCTGTGAATTATGAATGTTCTGAACGGTATCTAGAATGATGAATCCTCTCCAGAAGATTTTCAATTTACTTTGCCCAAATCTATCAGAAGAATCACTATCTATGGCAGCTATATTTCAAATCACAAATGTTTATCTCATATCACAAAATGTGTTTCTGAAATAATAAGACTTGAAAGTTGAAATTACTCTTTGATCCATGAGCTGCAGAATGGATGTCGTGTTAACAGGTGTGAAAACAACATTAATCACCTTGTACATTTTCATCAGAGCTCTTGGGTGACCATGTGCATTGTCAGTGAGCAGTGATATTTGGAAAGGAATCTTCTGAGGAGTAAGTCTCAACAGTGGGCTTAAAATATTCAGTGACCGGCTCATACCTGTAATTCCAGCACTTTGGGAGGCCAGGGTGGGCGGATCACCTGAGGTCAGGAGTTCGAGACCAGCCTGGCCAACGTGGTGAAACCCTGTCGCTACTAAAAATACAAAAATTAGCCAGGCATGGTGGCACGTACCTGTTAATCCCATTTACTTGGGAGACTGAGGCAGGCTGAGGCAGGAGAATTGCTTGAACCTGGGAGGCAGAGGTTGCAGTGAGCCAAGATTGTGCCACCACTCCAGCCTGGGCGACAGAGCAAGACTCCATCCCCCCCCCCCAAAAAAAAAAGCAGTAAAACATGCCGTAAACAGGTGTGTGGTCATTCAGACTTTGTTATTCCATTTCTAGAGTACAGGCAGAGTAGATTTAGCATAATTCTTGAGGGCTCTAGGATTTTCGGAATGGTAAGTAAGCAGTGACTTCAACTTAAAGTCAGCAGCTGCATTAGCCCCTAACAAGAGTCAGCTTGTCCCTTGAAGCTTTGAATCAGGCATTGACTTCTCTAGAGCTGTCAAAGTCCTAGATGGCATTCCAATGGAAGAGTTTCACATACATTGAAAATCTCTTTAGTGTAGCCATCTCCTTGATCTCAGCTAGATCTTCCTGGATAACTTGTGGAAGCTTCTATATCAGCACTTGCTGCTTCACCTTGCACTTTTATGGTATAGAGATGGCTTCTTTCTTTAAAACTCATGAACCAACAACCTCTGCTGGCTTCCAGTTTTTTTTCCTACAGCTTCCTCACCTCTCTCAGCCTTCAAATAACTGAAGAAAGCCTATCTTTGGGTTAGGCTTTGACTTAAGGGTAATACTGTAGCTAATTTGATGTTCTGTCCAGACCACTAAAGCTTTCTTCATATCAGCAATAAAGCTGTTTCACTTACCATTCTTGTGTAGCACTTTTAATTTCCTTCAGGAACTTTACCTTTGTGTTCATAACTTGGCTATTTGGTGCAAGAAACCTCACTTTTGATCTGTCTCAGCTTTTGATATGCTTTACTTACTAAGCTTAGTCATTTCTGGCTTTTGGTTTAAAGTGAGACACTTGGCTGGGCATGGTGGCTCATGCCTGTAATCGCAGCACTTTGAGAGGCCGAGGCGAGAGGATTGCTTGAGGCCAGGAGCTCGAGACTAGCCTGGGCTGCATAGTGAGATCCTGTCTTTACAAAAAATAAAAAAGTTAGCTGGGCATGGTGGTACATGCATGTAGTCCTCCCACCTATTTGGGAGGCTAAGGCAAGAGGATTTTTTGAGCCCAGTACTTTGAGGCTGCAGGGTTGCCACAAACCTTCAATTTGTAAAAACCCCAATATATGTGAAGTGCAATAAAATGAAGCACAGTAAAACGAGGTATGTGTGTACCTAGGAGTAGAATTGCTGGGTCATATGGTAATTCTATGTTTAACTCTTGAAAAGCTGCCAAACTGTTTTACACAGCTGTTGTACCATTTTACATTCCCACCAGCAATGTAGGAGGGTTCCAATTTCTCCATGTCCTTGCCAACACTTGTTATTTTCCTCTCTTTTAATTATAGCCATCCTAGTGGGTGTGAAGTTTTATCTCATTGTGGTTTTTATTTGGATTTCCCAAAATGGCTAATGATATTGAGCATCTTTTAATGTTCTCGTTGGCGATTTGTTTATCTTCTTTGGATAAATGTCGCTTCGAGTCATTTGCCCATTTTAAACTTGGACTGAAGTTTTTGAGTTCTGAAAGTTATTTATATATTCTGGATACTAGACCCTTGTCAGATACATAGTTTGCAAATGTTTTCTTTCCTCCTGTAGATTTTCTTTTGACTTTTTTGAAGTCCTTTGATGCAAAAAAAGTTCTAAAAATTTGATGAAGTCCAATGTATCTTATTTTTGTTGTTGCTCATGCTTTTGGTATTATATTTAAGAATTCATTGCCAATTCCAAAGTAAGATTTACCTCATATTTTCTTCTGAAAGTTTTCTAGTTTTAGCTTTTAAATTGTTAATCCATTTTGAGTTAATTTTTATATATGGTGTGAGGTAGGGGGTCCAGCTTCATTTCGTTACATGTGGATATCCAGTTGTACCAGCACCATTTGTTGAAGAGGCTTTTTTCCCCCCTACATTGAATGGTATTAGCACCCTTGTTGAAATCAGTTGACTATAGATGTATACGTTTATTTCTGTGCTCAAATTCTTTTCCACTGATACATGTCTATTCTCATGGCAAGTTGATAGCTTTTACCTGTGGTATATGGTAATATAGAGTATTGATTTTTCAAGCTTTGATTACATTGTAAACTTTTTTTCTTTTTACAAACTTATAGTGAATTTATTAAAGAAATTATTTCCTTTTAAAGTGTCAGGTTTATAAGAACAACAACAACAACAACACACAAACTTATTGGATGGTTTTATTTAAAACTTTTTGGTGTATTTTATAATTTCTCTGACTGCACATGGAATAGTGATGCCGATACATAGTGTATCAGTGTGCATTGTAATTGAATTTTCACTGTAAGTTAAATTTACCTCGAGCCTCTAAATAAAGAACTACTTATGTAAATTCATCCTGCTAAAAGATGTGATGGTGCCAGCTATAGAAGTACCAGAATAGGAACAGCTGTCTGTTGCAGATTTGGGCTAAGCATCACATCAAGAAGGAATCATATATCTGTAGTCTCTAGAGAAACAGTGCTTGGCACCTAACGGTTTTTTAACTTTAATCAGTACAACAAAAGTTGCAGTGCTTTAGGACCAGAATATGATATACCTTTTAAGTCTCTTTTAATCTATAATGTCTTTCTCTTTTTTTTCTTGTAATAATTTATTTGCTAAATAAATTTTTTTTTCTTTGTTTCTTATAGTCTGGTTCTTGCTGATTGAATTCCTTTGGTGCAGTTTAGTATGTTCTTCTGTGTTCTGCATCTCCTGTAGATTGGCATTTGGATATAGCGGGGATCTAAAAAACATTTTTTCTTGTTGTTTTATGTTCACTTCATAGATGATGTTTGTGTCTTCCACCAGGAGGCACATCATACCTGCTTATCTCTCTTTCTACTACATTAACTAAGTTTATTTTGATTCACTTTAGTTTTAACAATTCAAGGATTTTTTAGAGAAGATGGTATAGAGCATAAGATAAGAGCTCTGGAGTACAGTAATCTGGATTCAGGCTTTGACTCTGGGCCTACTAGTTTTGGAATTTTGGAAAATCACTTCCCCTCTGTGTTAAGTTCCTTATCTGCTGGGGATGATTATGCCTACTCCTAGGATTGTTTAGAAGATTAAAGAGATCACATATGGAAAAGAACCTGGTACAGAGCCTGGCATGTAGCAAGTGGTCACTAAATGTTAACTGTTGTTGTTTTGTGAATTAAAAAATATTCTAAAATAATCTAAAGGATAGATTATCTTGATTATTCTAAAATCTAAAGGACAGATTATCTCGATTTGTAAGTGAGGAAATTAAAATTTGGATAACGATTGTTTTTTGGCTCACCTGGGTTTTTTTAGGGAAAAAGTAAGGAAATTATTCAACTGAGGTGAGTAGCTCTCTGTTGTCCCCATCAAAGTGAATAGTTACATTTAGTAACCACTCTTCATAAACTTAATTTCAAAAGTGATTTTTGTCAGTGCCTTGGATGTTGGTGTGTATTCATTTTAATTGGCCTTACCTCATGTTGGCAAGTTGCCCCCTCATTGAACAGACTTATACCATAGCACATTTTATGCTTGCAGTCCATGAAAAATACTTTTCTGTTTCATAGGGAGCTTACTGTTAATGTTTTTATTTTACAGTGTAATGTTCAAGCTCAGCAATGCCTTATGTGGATCGTCAGAATCGCATTTGTGGTTTTTTAGACATTGAAGAAAATGAAAACAGTGGGAAATTTCTTCGAAGGTACTTCATACTGGATACCAGAGAAGATAGTTTCGTGTGGTACATGGATAATCCACAGGTTCGTAAAGTCCCAAGGATTATCTTTTAAAAGCATAGAAAGTTGTATTTAAGTATTTAACATACTATACAGGTTTTAGTATTTGTCTTCTTAAACAGTATATTTTTAGATTTATTTCTACTGACTGTCCTCTCTGCCTTGCACTCCTGACCTCTACTGTCTTGTTTGAATTTCAGAAGGTGAAACTAAGTTTATTTGATAAAAATTAATGCTTTTGTATTTTTCCCTCGAGAGAGACATGCTCTCTCTGGTAGAAAATTAGGTTTTAGAAAATTAGATCTTGAGTCACAGAAAAAAATAACAATTGAAGCTGTCCCAAAAATCAGAAATACTGTTTTTGTAACATATATTTCAAACAACAGCTAAAATAAAGACCAGGGATAGATGATTTTCTTGCATTAAGGAGGCTTAATACCGGGGTCCCTTTAGTGAGATTAAATTTAGGTTTAAGATGCTGTATCTAGGATAGTGACTGTTATTTTTTAATAAATAAATGACTTAACCACATGATGCTCTTGCGCATATATAGTCCTTTTATTTTGTGGTGTCAGATTTGAGTCAGTCATTGTAATGCCATCCATGAACTGAAATGCATTTTGATTTTATTGTTGCCTTGCAAAACATAGGGGTAAATGTTGTAATTTAAAAATTAGAATCCCAGCCTTAAGATCTGTAAGAGGCCTGGGATTAGATATCATCTGTGAAGTAGTTTTAAACTTTCAGCTTTCTCTACTTTTTTTTTTTTTTTTTTTTTTTTTTGAGATGGATTCTCACTCTGTCACTCAGGCTGGAATGCAGTGGTACGATTTTGACTCACTGCAGCCTCTGCCTCCCGGGTTCAAGTGATTCTCATGCCTCAGCCTCCTGAGTAGCTGGGACTACAGGGATGAGCCACCACGCCCGGCTAATTTTTTGTTATTTTTAGTAGAGATGGGGGTTTCGCCATCTTGACGAGGCTGGTCTTGAATTCCTGATGTCAGGTGATCCTCCAGCCTCAGCCTCCCAAAGTGCTGGGATTACAGGCGTGAGCCACTGTGCCCGGTCTTTTGGAACTTTTTATCTTCAAATAAAAATTGGTATAAAAGTTAAAAATGGGGTTGTATGTTGCAAGGAAGTATGTGCAAAGCAAGGGATGAATCTCTAGCAGACTTTTAAGCTGATTTTTGTCCAGTAGGCTTCTCATGTGGTTGAGGAGTGGAAGGTCTAGGGAAGAGCAGCAACTTATACAAGGTTCTGTTCTGTTTCACAGAGCAGGAACTAGGTCTCCTGATAAGTAGTCTAGTATTCTTCACTCTGTACTAATTTTAGATTAGACAAGATACAGATACACTAATGTGTGTATGTTTATTTATGTAGAATTTGAGTTGTAAGGGACATCTCACCCATATGAGCCATTGCACGGTTCTGCCTATTTTCTCTCCCTGGTTTTTCTCTCTCATCACCAGGTCCGGTTGACATATGTATGGTTTCACCTGAATTTTACTTGAAACGCCTTGATTATTTTTCCATGTTCCTACGTAATAGATTCTTCTTGTCATTCTTCCTTTATCAGTACTGCCCATTTAACAGAGCTAAAAGGAGTTAAGTACAAAATAGAATATATTTATTACCCTGAATAAAACATGGACTTGGAATTCAGAGGAAAGTTATACAGCTAGTAGAAGGAGTTGAAGTCTTCATGGAAGTGGTAACATTTGAAATTGACCTAGAAGTTTGGATATAATATTGGCTAAGAGATGGAAAAGTTGATTATTCTAGTGCTCAAAGAGTAGTGTGGGCAGAGATCAAAGCAAGAGAGCCTGTGGCAGGTTTGGAGACTAGATCACTTTGGCTCTAGCACTCATCTAGGTTTGTACTCAGCTAGGTCTTGTCCACATGAACTTTTGAAAGCCATATCTCTGTGTTGGAATTAATGCATTGGCTTTTCTGGATATAGTGTCAATTTTTTTTTTTAAGTACAGAATTTAAATGTTTTTTAGTTTGTTCTTACTGAGTTTATGTCTTCTTTGGAAATCTTGATTCTGTCAGCCAGTGTATTAGCCATTAGTAACAACTTGGTGTCACTTTTAAACGTAATAATCAAGACATAGCTACTCTTGAAAACTTTAGTAAAATGTCTTGCTAAGATTATTATATTATTTTCTTTCTTTATCAAGGTTATTATGATCAGTATAACCATGTTATTACATCTTGACATAAGCAATTAGATTGAACCGTATGAAATTGCTAATATACCTAATACACAAACATTTTGAATTACTAAAAAATGGCAATTTCGTATGGTTCAATCTAGTTGCTTATGTCAAAGTATAATAACATTTGATATATGATACTGATCATAATATCCTTGGTAAAGAAAGAAAATTAGTTTGATTCATCTGTTATCAGGGAGCCACTTCTTCCCCTGACCACTGCTTCCTTTTCCGCTAACCATGGGTTTAAAAATTCATTCTAGTGTTTATTAGGGATCATTTTGGGGCTTTCTGTGTTTTATCAAGGAGGTTGGTAATCATGGAGAATGAAATAATTAAGTTGCTGTACGAGGGAGTGCATTTGAAGAGATTTGAAAAAGTATTTGGCAAAATGAGTTTAGGAACTCATAATCAACAAATGGCCTATTTCCCTTTTTTTCTTAAGTGTTCTATTAGTTTGTTATTTCTTGTTCATTGTCAAGTAACAAATTTTGAATCTCTTTTTTTCCAGTCAAACCTGATGGTAATCATACTAGTCCATAGAAACTGGGTATTTTGAATATTGCTTTTCTTTCAGCTACTTACATTTCTCTGTAGTGTGCTACTATTACTGTGACACTTTATTTCATGCTTTGGTTTCTCATTTGTCTTCCTTCCACAAAGACTTAGAGCTCTATTCAGCAGTTAAAATAATAGGCTCATTAAAAACTGAAAAGAAATAAATTATTATCCTTGAGTGGAAGGGTAACAGTTTTTGAAAAAATCACTTTGGTAGTAGTTAGAGATTCTTGAAGACATATTTACATTTCTCTTCCTTCCTTAAAGTTAAAAACCAAAAACCCATAAATATAAAACGTTATACATAAGAATACAAATAGCTTTTTAATGTTATACATTAATGAATTATAATTTTATTTTATATGCCTATTTACTATTATTTATATTTGGAAGCTTGTACATAGTATATAGTTTAAAGTAGAACATAATTAATGGAATTTTACAACATATAGGTGTGTGTGAAAGTTTTGAAAAGATCTGTCCGTGTCAACAGTAGGCAGTTCATGTTTGGGAATCTTAAGTCTTTGAAATATCTAGGCTTCCAGTTACCTCCTAATCATTCATTAGAACAAGCCCATAGATTTTTTTTATTTTTAAGTACATTATTATAAAGTCAGTTGAATAGTTGATGCTTTCTAATCTCCAGCAGAAATAATTTTCAAAATTAACTAAATCTGTTTTCATTTTTACCTCTGAAATATTCTATCAGTCTTTTATCAGTTTTCTATCATATAAATGAAATTTATATTCTTTGTTTCTTTTCGCCAGATTCTTTTGTCTGGTTTTCCTACCTCCATTTTCCTCCTCTATAATCCATTCAGTTTATTATATAGTAATTAAAGCATAATTTTGATTCCAGATCTGCTTATAAGCCTTCTTTGTTGGCTTCAAATTCTCTACAGTATAAATTCTTTGCTGCTTTGTTTTTTATTTAGGTCCTCTATGATTAGGTTCTCAGTTCAAGTTTTCAGACCACCATTTTGTACCACAATCTTACAGGACACTACATCACAGCCCAACACAGCCACCCTCTCTTTCTAGTACAGAGCTGTGCACATTCAGTTGTTTGCCATAGTTTGTCCGTTTTCTCTGCTTGGAATATTCTCCCCTGCTTTTTGTGTTTCAAAATTTTCCTTAACCTCCAGCCTAAATGTACTTCAGTCTTTCTGGATAACTTCAACCAGAGATGATTCTCCCTCTTCGTTTACCTTTAGCTCTTTTATGATGCAAACCATATCTAAAACTTAAGGGAAGAATGAAAATACTGTGTGTGAAAGTGCCTACATTCCCTGCATATGATGTAAAGAGAAGCTAACATTTTTTTTTTGGAAAAAAAAAGTATCAGTGTAGATTAATATGGTATAACAAACAGTAAACCATTTAAATGGGGGGAAATGCAGTCCATTTTTGTCAAGGGATATTTGATAAAGAAATTTTAATAGAACAAAGTAATATGTATAGGCTTTTAAAGTATCTTACAATTATATTTGTTTTATGCCCCTAAATATTTCCCCCTTGCTTTCGGGAACAAAATCTGATCTTGTGTTTGGCTTTTTAAGCTCATGAGAAAGAGTATTGGTTTAGCTCCAGTGATAAAAATAGCCTTTTAGTCATAGAATGCATGATGATGGAAAAGAGTAGGATTCAGTTTTGTTATCCAAGCTATGGACTTGATTTCAGACCTAATAAAAACTTGAACAGAAGAAAAGTTCATTTGTAAAATGTGATAATAAAAATTGAGTTTTTTAACTTTTCAAAAGTACACATGGAACGTTATATTATAAAATGAATTCATAATATTGGATATTAATTATATATTAATAATTTGTTTCTAGAACCTACCTTCTGGATCATCACGTGTTGGAGCCATTAAACTTACCTACATTTCAAAGGTAGTCTTTATACATTGTCTTATATTCATGTGTGAATTAAAATCCTTGTGAATGAGCGTACGAATGGAAGCAGCAGTTTCCTTTCCATGTCCTTTAACAGTGATGTTCAGATTTCTATCATGCTGAAACAGTTTCTGATTACTATGTTTAGGAAATTCTTTAAATTGATACAATTATGAAGAATACGATTTTAACTTACAGGATGTGGCAAATTGCAAAAGTTAACATTAACTTTTATGATCAGGTATATGAACATCAGAAAGGGAGAAATCAGTGAAACAAAGTCTATCCTGAGAAGATCTGAAGATTTTTCTAAGTCTATATTATGTTTGTTTAGGCTGTTTCCAACTTTTAAATCCCATTGTCTTTGATACTTTGTTTTTTAATGTTTTATTTTGAGGAACATGTGAACCATTTTCATGTTGAAAGGATGATTCTCCCCCCTCTTTTCACTTTGTCTCTTTTCATTTCTGTTTTCTTCTTTATTTGTTTTTCTGGTAATTTTGCAATACCATTTTTTTATTTTTAAAAATTTTGATTTTTACGTTTGTCAGGTACCTTTTTTTCTTATTTTCTTCTATTAATGTTTAGGGAACTAAAAGATGCTGAGGTGCTAGCCTTGTGGATTTGTGTGTGTGTGTGTGTGTGTGTGTGTGTGTGTGTGTTTTACATAAAAGCAATAAAAGCTTGTTGATTACTTATATATGAGATACAAAAGGTAGCAACACAGTATTATTAGATAATATGGGTACTATTATGCATATACTGAGATCTGTTGGCAAAGGTAGATCACTTCAACAGAAGACAAATTTACAAATGTGCCTCTGTTTAGAAGATAGATGTTATATAAATAAAATACTTTATATTAGTGTTACAACAGAGGTATTCATTCTCATTGACCAAAAAGAAAAGAAAAGAGCCCTTGGACAATAAAGATTACATATTTAAAAGGAAACATTTTTCTGTTAAAATCATGTTATGTAAATTTACATATGGCAAATATTATGTGGAAGCTCTTTCTTGAAATCAAGTATTAACTCAGTAAAGTGGGTAGGGTGACTGGCCAGCTGCTTTCCCCTCCTCCATTGCTCTTCTTTTAAAATATAACCTTTTTTTCTGTGCAGTTCTGTAACTTTCATCTTGTCCTCCCACTTCCTGAAGTTTAAATTGTGCAGTTTGTACTCTACTTTGGATGTACCACTTTTTTTCCAAAAAAAATTTATTTCAAAAATTTATTTCTGGAACAAACTTTTGTGTGACTCAGAACTGTGAGTTTGTAGTCGGGATCAGTGAGGAATCCCAGACTTAGAATTCCTTTTGAAGGTACAAAACAGATGCTGCAATTATAAGTTCTGTCACTGGACAACAGCATGGCAATAGTTGTGAATGAGCTTCTGGGAGGTACTTTATTTAAAGGGATAGCAGCCACCAAATGCAGCTGGTTGCCTCATCTTCTAAAATGAACCATGAGCTGCATTTAATAAAGTGATCCCATTATCCTAGGGTATTCTCCTAGGAGCAAGAGAGGATCCAGCTCCATTTTGATCTCCTCATAGCAGATTAATGCCTTAATCTTAATTATTAAGATTAAGATTAATTCAATTAAATGCCTGGATTTATGGATTTTAAATGCAGTCTCCCCTTTACCCATCCCCATTTTTGCTTAAAAATCATAGCTAATTTAGAAATACATTATTTGGGAAGAATGCATAGTTCTTGTAGAATATTCATTGAGGGTATTTTGAAAATTATGTTAAACTAAAAATACTTGTGTGTATGACATAAAGCCTAAAGGTTTACTTTCAGCTTCTCTCTGACATTTCTTTGAAGAGAAAACAAGTTTGTTCAAGGAAAATTTGGAAGTATTATTTGCAGCCTCTTACAGTTGGGAACTGCATCCTATGTATTTAATTTGCTGTTCTTTTTCAGTTGTCTTTCATGTTTAATTTTAAGTCTGTTTACTAAATGTGTATGATTATTGGGGAATCATACATGTGGAAGTTTACATAGTATATATGGTTGGTTTTAGGATGATATGAAGAAGTGAGGAACCCATCTCTATTTTTCTTTTTAGGTTAGCGATGCTACTAAGCTAAGGCCAAAGGCGGAGTTCTGTTTTGGTAAGTAGCCATGTTATATGTATTTTAAATTGACTGATATAATTGTATCATATTGTAAAAGAAAACTGTAGGAGAAAACCACACAAAACCTATGGCTGAATGAATTATTCTAAAGTGAATTCCCTTGTAACCGCTATACAGATAAGGAAATAACATTTTGCACTCGCCCTCCCCTAACCCCGAAGCCTCTTTCCTGTGTGCCATCCTAGTTACAGTCACCTCCTTCTACCCATATGTAACTATAATTTTGGCATTTATAATGATCACCTCCAGTGAGATTTCAGGTAATTTTAAACTTTCTGTGTCATGTTATTCTATATTAAACATATAATTAATTAAAAGGATTTGGTCTTTAGCTTGTGGGTGGTGAGAAATGTACAGTTTGGGATAGGAGTAGTTGAGGGTATTGGATTAACTTACTCAGCAAATGTTTAGTATATGCCAGGCACTGTGCTTGGCAGTGGGGCAGTAAGATGAATAAGAAGCAGTTGCTGCCCTTAAGGCTGGTTGGCTCATAGATAAAAAATACCAGGCAATTATTATTGCAGTTGTCACAACCTGTAGATAAAGGGATATGCAATCTATTAAGCACAAAGAACGACCTTCAGATCTTTATTGGGGAGCTTGGGAGTCGGGGAGCCTCCCCGGAGGAGGAGATGCTTACACTGGTGGCCAACTAGCCTGCTGCTTATATCCTTTAGCACTGCAGAGAAAAGGCAGGAGGACCACATGCACAGAGGATTGTGGGGAGAAGAGCGTGGTGTCTCTGGAGCTGAACACTGAAGCTAGAGGGTATGATAAGTGGCTAGAGAGTAGAAAGGCAGGCAGAAGCCAGGGTGCTGTGTTTTGACGAGCAATAGGTTTTATTATTTTGAAAAAAGGAGAAGAGAAAGAGAGCATCTGAAAGCAGACGTAAGGTGAAGGAGTTTTTTTTTTTTTTTTGGTATGGATAGGAAAGTTTTGATGTAGGTAGACTGGGTAAGTGGCCTCTGAACTACTGTACTTATGTAAGGTCCTGAGTTAGTGTGGTGGCAATGGGAGAAGGAGGAAGGGTGAAAAGAAGGAAAAGTGCAGGGGCTTGGTGGATATGGGGGAATTAGAGAGAAGAGAGAGGTAGCAGGGAAGTTTGCTTCAAGTAAAGAAATGGGAAGTCAGGGAGAGCTGGTTATATAAGTAAAATGTTTGCTGTGGAGTTGAAATGGTGGGGAACTTCCAAATGGAAATGTTCTGTTGATAGTAATTGAGGACTGGATGGAGCTTTAAGGTCAAGAATGGAGAAATTTGGGGTCTGTTAAAAAGGGAGTGGTAGTTGAAGCTAGGAAAATTGATACCCTCTCAGAGAGTATGTTAGTGGACATTAGTGACTGAAGGAACAACTATTTGGAGTGGCCAACTAACATCAAAAGGGACTATTTCACTTTAAAGTGAGAGATACTTTTGGGGGTAGAATTGAAGTTCTTTGCTCTCTTTTGCTTGAAAAGGACAGGTTTCTTTAGGCAGTAGTTAGAAATAGCATCTTGATGTGAGCAAGATGAAACGTGGCTGTCAAGGTAATCCTCTTACCTTGAAGATTAAATAGGAAGATTAAATTAAATTAAATGCTTTTATCTCACTATGAAGCTATTTTTTAAAGTTACATGTTTATTACTAATTACAATTTTGGTTATGAAGCAGGAAAATGTCTCAGAGCCTTGTAAGTGAATCGGTATTGCATGTCAAATAACTGAGAACTTTGTATTTTAGAACGTATAATGCACATACTTTTGACAACCCTTTTTTTCTAAAATCTCAAACTTACAAAAATAGTAATATACAGTAACAGACTTGACATTCATAGTTATTGGAGTATTTAGAATGGGTGATTTTAGTTGGAATCAAAAATTAAGATTAGTCGTTCATTTATCAGTCAATAGTTTATTAGTCCTCTACTGCTAGTGGGAATAAAGATTCATGAAATGCTTACTTTCAGAGAGAGAAGCACTGTCTTCTAAATAGAACCACAACTTTCATTCAAAGTGGCAACGTGTCTTCTCTCAAATTGTCCCAAACCAGTGAGAATAAGAAACATGCAAGCCATTTTTGATGGAGGGAGCAGAGTATCTGTAACCCTCAGTATGTAAAGTTGGAAAGTGGATAGAGGAATGGTAGATAATTTAGCAGAGTGGAGGAAGAGGCCAATGAAAAGCTCACCATTTAAGTGTTCTGCCTCACCCCAATTCTAGATAGGCTTAGGTATAGGAGATACATTTTCTGAGGAAGCAACAGTGAGGAAAGACCAAAAACAGGGACTTAGTTTGCATATCTATATCAGAAACAATCTCTGTTCCCTACCTCCATCTAGCTGGATCGGGCAGACACCCTTCCCCTGTTCCAGCAGGAAATGGGATGTGTGGTGTCTCCACAAATACAATCAGTGAGGCTATATATTTAGGGGCACTAGTCCCAGAGAACGAAAGGAATGAGGCATGAAACTGAAAATAGGAAGATTAAATGAAAGTCTGCACAATCAATGCAACCCCAACCCCAGAGCACTGGGCAGCCGGGTTTAGGTGAGTAAGATCTGAATACCCTAGAGTAAAGATCCGTAGATACTGACTGACATCTGGGCATTTCTACTAGAAGAGCTTGCCATAGTTGACTAGTGAGGTCCACAGTCAGCAGACCTACAACCCAAGAGAGCTTTTCATCAGTCTTTTTAGCACTTTCTTTTAAAATATGAATAGACAGCCCAGGATTACTGAACATTTGGTGAGAGAGGATTATCAAACAGGAGAAGGAACATGAGACAATGCAAAACTCACAAGAAAAAGGCAAAGAAATCTGAAAGTAGAACAAAGGTAAAGATAGATAATGGAAAAGAGATAAAAGCAATCAAAGAAGTCCAACATCTGATAGAGACTGAGAGGACAGAGGAAAGTACAGAATAGAGAAAACAGAATGGGGAAAATTGACAAAGAGTGTGATAAAATACCTTAGAACCTCTTGAACCAAAACCATATATTCATAACCAGTTGATTTCAGGTTGTGAGATGATTTTTGCTTGCAGTTAAGCCAATGTTTATGCTTCAAGTTTTATCCATTTTATGTATTCATTCTAATCATAAAGATTTGAAATGAAATACTCAAGTGGAAAAGGTAGGAAGGATACAAGCTTCTAGGGGTGCATTTATTATTTACAGTGAAACCTTTACTTTAGGGTTTTTATGGTAACTTAGCAGTATCAAAGTTTTTTTTTTTTTAATTGTTCAAAGATTTTCTTTCCCTTTCTCCCTTCCCCACCAATATTGCTAATACACCACATTTCAGTCACTTGCTTTCCTTTTTCTTTTTTCTTTTGAGATGGAGCCTCCTCACTCTGTCCCCTGGAGTGCAGTGGTGTAATCTTGGCTCACTGCAACCTCCACCTCCTGGGTTCAAGTGATTCTCCTGCCTTAGCCTCCCAAGTAGCTGGGATTACAGGTACCTACCACCACGACTGGCTAATTTTTGTATTTTGAGTAGAGACAGGGTTTCACCATGTTGGCCAGGCTTGTCTCGAACTCCTGACCTCAAGTGATTTGCCTGCCTTGGCCTCCTAAAGTGCTGGGATTACAGGCGTGAGCCACTGTGTCCTGCTTTACATTTTTTATAGTGCTTCCTTACTCCTTAGAAATCTCCAGATGATGGCAGTGAAGAATATTCTGTACCAAGCACTGTGTTAGTTTCTTTACGTATAAGATCGTCACCTCTTAAGGAGGTGGAATGAGTGGCATTCCCATTTCACAGATGAGTATCAGGCTCAGAGAAATTAAGTAATGTTTGAAAGATGATATTGCTTGTAAGTGCATAAGCTAGTCAGGTTGGACTGATTCCAGGCTGATTTTTTTTCTAGATCATACCTATATACCTACATCTTGTCATGAAGTAATTATTAAAGTCCATGAGATTTTATTCAGATTGCAAGGTATACTAGGAGTCTTTTTTTAGATATATATTTACATCTCTTCCTTTCCTTAAAAGAGATCCTTATATAAATATTATTTATTCAGAAGCATATGTATTAAGCATTTACTGTGTACCAAGTACAGTATATTAATAAGTGCATAGATTTTTAAACTCTTCAGATGTTCTGGGCAGATGCCCAAAATAACATTGAGGGGAAGAAGCCATTATGAATGAGGAGGGCTCTGCTTCAGCCTAAGCTGAAAAAAAAAAAAGAGTATAAAAGGAAGCCTTACTGATGGCTAGAAATTACAAGCAAAAGTTATTTATTGATAGGTATAGCATCCTAGTGAATTATGGATTTATCTTAATATATATTTATGGCAATTATAACTTTTCCAGTCTCTAGAAAGATATACAAGAACAGATATCCAGTGTGTTAAATTTCTTTTAAGGTTATAGACTGGTTGTTTTGTAGTACTTTGCAAGATAGGCTTTGACTTCCTTTCTAAGACCTTCATCTCAATTCAAGGAAGCTGTAGTTTAGAGTGTCTTGGTCTCAGTCTCAATTTCAAAATCTTGTGTGTTTTCCTTGAGAGTTTGCATTTCCCCTTCTCTTAGCCACATTCAACTGTGTGCTAGTGTATCTTTTAAAATTTTGGTGGAGACGTTTTGAAGTTATTTTTATGTTTGAACAATTGCAACAGTATAACTATTCAGATACTTAGCTCCTGGAATAATATTTATGCTTTTAAAAATAAATGCACGTGGTGTATAATACATAGCTTTAATTCAAGAGTGGACTATGATGGTTTATAGATAACTGTATGTGCACATGTGCTTTGCTTTATAAAAGTACATAGTCCCTAAAGGGGTATATATAAACTAAATTGCATAAAAGTTCCAAATGTATTAAGATTCAAAATATAAAGGAAATTCATAAGGTCTAGAAAAATAAATCTTAAGTTAGGGAGATTTTCTAGGTGATATGAAATCTGGATACATTTATAGAAAAGATTCATAGTATATTTCTGTATGATCAAAAATACTGTGAAAGTAAAATAAAACTGACACTGGGAAAAGTATTGGTAATAAAGCAGAAAAGATTAATATATAAGTTTCTATAAATAATGGACAATTCAGGAGAAATGTGGGTAAAGACAGTAAACAAAACTCACAAAATAAATGCAAATGGCTAATAAACTTATAAAACTAATTTATCTCAATAACCAAAGAAATTAAAATTTGATAAGGTATTTACCTTATTTACCAAATTATTTACCAATAGGTTGTTAAAGAGTATTAGGAAAACACCACACTAGGTATTTCAAACCCAAGGGATTTGTTACAGGGAATTGGTTACCCAAATCTTGGAAGACTGAAAGAATGTGAAGGGAATGCTGAAGTAACCCAGAAATTAGAAAATACATGAAGTAACTAGTACTCTAGGAGGGCTAGAGAGACAAAAGGGGAGAGACAGTAGTATTACTATAACCTAGGGCAGTGGAGTAGGAGCTACCATGGAGCTATTGGTATCCAAGGGGACTCTGCAAGGCTGGCGTAGGGGGCAGGAAAAGGCCCCCAATAGTAGCTAGTTGTGTGCTGCTGTTGGAGAGAGGTCAACAACAGCAGGAATCAAGGAGAGTCTCCTCTTTCCTTCTCCCCTCTCCCACTTTACAGTCTCTTATCAGTACCTCCCATTGGCAGAGAATGGCCTCAGATGGGGTCTAGGAAATATTGTTTGCAGACTGCCAGCCCCAATGCCACAGAGCCTTTGAAAATTAGAAACTAGAGGTATCCACAGGTGCTAATAACCAGTTCTGGTGAGGGGTATTCAATGAAATAAACCTTGCGTATGTGGTTGATAGGAATGTGAACGGATTCAACTTTGTGGGAAGATGATTTGGAAATGCCTATAAAAAGTTTAAACGTCAGCTGTCTTTGACCCAGCCAATCTATGTCAAGAAATTTATCCCCCAGAAATGCTAGCCAAGTGTGGAGAAATATATGTGTATGATGTTTCATTGTAATATTTTATATAATTTCAAAAACCGGAAGTAGCCTAAGCGTCTATCATTAGGGGATTGACTAAATGTATTGTGGTGTATCCATTTGATAAAAAACATGGCCATAACAAAATAAGAGTTTTACCTGTGTTATTGTGTGATAAAAGCTATATTATATGTGGTCTGATATATTTCATCAAATCCACGAGAGTCATGGTGTTGAACCTAGCGAGGTTTTTCAGCTACTGCAAACATAAATTTACAGGTAATAAGTACAGTATTTGGTGTGTTATTTTTTTCTGTCAACAGTTATGAATGCAGGAATGAGGAAGTACTTCCTACAAGCCAATGATCAGCAGGACCTGGTGGAATGGGTAAATGTGTTAAACAAAGCTATAAAAATTACAGTAAGTATATGTATTTTTTTGAAAACTGTTCGATGTCTGGAATTAATCTTTTCATTTTGAAGATACACCTACCAAATGTTCCCAGCTTACCAACAGGTTTCATACTGAAGCTTTGTTTAAAAGACAGGTGTTCAGAATGTGAATATGTTTTCTTGTACTTGGTGACTGTTGGTCCTTTAATCAGCCCATGATTGCCTTTTTAACTTATGAACCTAATAAGGAGATATATTACTGCAGATCTTAATCACTTCTTACAACGTTTCTAGGAGAATATGTGCTTAGCACGTAGAGTTCTACCAGGAGGATATATTTTTTTCTTCTAGTATAGTGTAAGAGATTTCCTGCCACCTACCTGGGGAATAGGCACTTCTCTCTTCTAAGCCCTGACTGGGGTTTGGGGTCAGAGAGGAAAAGAGTTGAAAACAGGAGCAGGACAAGGGGAGATGAAGGCTGAAAAATGAGGGATAGGGATAGGGATGGTGTCTGAAGGGTTGTGGCAACCAGAGGGTCCTGCCGCACGTGACCCTTGAGAAGTTTGTCTCAGGCTCTAAACTTCTTCCTATGTCCGATTTTTTTCCTTGTGTTCCAGGGCTTGATACCTTTCCCATGCTACAATTTCTTGCTTGTAATGTGTGCTTCTCTTCTTTTTTGGTTTTCTGATGAATATTTATTGATTATTTACACTGTGCCAGATCTTAGACTGAAGGTTTTACTTAAATGAACTGGAAAAGTGAGACCTAGAAAGATTAATCTACCAGTTTTATAGCTAGTAGATTATGGAGCTGGAAGTCCAGTCCAGTTTGTTGGACTCTGGAGCCTGAACTCTGAAGTGCAGTGCCTTACTGCTTCCTGAACAAAAACAGCCCCCGTCTCCTTACTCTTTTGTTCCTAAAACCAAAAACCTTTACTGAGAGAGTTTGCTAGTGATGGTGAGCAGCAAGTAGATATGTACCTTGCCTCACCTTCCCTTTACACTTTTGTAGAAAAATACATAGTAGACCTGCATGGAATATGTTGGGAAGGAGTTCTTGTGTTGTGAGATTTGTGTCAATTGCGTTTTTGTTTTTTTTTTTAATAAAGTGCAATTATTTACTGACCCTAAGTGACGTATTCTCAAATAATATGTGCCCTGAAAGTCAGCATATGTTAGTCACTCGTTAGTTTTAATCTAAAATGAATAATTTCATATTTATATCACAACACAATAAAGAGTCAGTATAGTTAAAGCTGTTCCCAGAGTTAAGTCGAATTTTTTTTTTGTTTTGCACTAGAACAGCTTGTTACCACATGACAGAAAACGCCTACGCACTGCATCTGATCTGTACATGAAGCAGAAGTTATTTTAGGTTTGTGCAGTTTCAGGAAAGCAATTTTTTAACCTGATTCAGACATACATATTCTTAAAAACTTTTAGCTAATCATTTTAACTCTTTTAATAAATATTCCCTGCTGAAAAATTTCTTTAGAAAGATAGTATCTCGTAACTTTACTAAATTCATGTTTTACAATTTGCAGTAACAAGCAGCACTGGTTTCTTAGTGCTTTAAGAGAAAAAGCAGTGAATTGTCTCAGGCTTTTTACCACTTTGGGGGGTCTTAAACTGCTATGTCTAATTTATCAGTGGTATGAAACAGTCTTATACAAATGACACTGGTAAACTTTTTAGCATGAAGGAAAAACAGATTAGAAATTCTAAATAGAATTCTTAAAAATACTTCTAAGTAGCTTTTGTGGTCTTGCAACTTTATTTTACATGTTGAAATTTTTATAGTTTTTAAGATAAATTTGTTGGTAAATGATTTTAATGTTTTTATAATTCACATTTGGAAAATATAAATACATATAAGATATAGAAGTCCTTATTACTATAGTGATTAATAAAGTGGTTATAACTGCATTAAAGTGAGTATAGAATTGATAGCACTTATTAAAAATAAACTTTAGATAGACACACGTTTAACTCAGGATAGCAATGAAATAATTTCCCATGCTTTAATAAGATATGCTTTATGTTAATTTTATTCCTTAAAAATCTCACCAGTTTTTTGTGCATTTTATATATTAAGTGTATTAAAGTGTGGAATCTCTAATTTGTTATATTTTCCTATGAACATTGCTGATGATTTACATGTAGATTATTTGAAAACTTAAAATGTACATTTTGATATATGTACTTAATACATAAATCTTTCTATGGAATCACTCTCATTTTGGTCAACTGTATAATTTAGTGGTCTTTTAGTGGTCTGCTAAGTACTGTGTGATAAATAAATTTTAAAATTTTAGAAATCTGAAATTAGAGTTTGGAAATGTGTGGTTTCAAAATAGAGGTGGTTAGAGGGCAATGGGTAAGGGAATGATGATTTTTCAGCTATTTCCTAATTATAATATATTGCCATTTTAATCCTTTATTTTCCAACTCTGTGACTTTCCTTACTTTTCTTAAGTCTAGATGGGTGCCACTTGAAATTCTTTACCCTTTACAGTTGCTTTTCAACTTATGATGGGGTTACATCCTTATAAGCCCATTGTAAGTCAAAAACACAAGTTGAAAATCTATTTAGTACCCCAACAAACCCACTATAAAGTTGAAAAATTGTAAGTTGAACCTTTGTAAATCCTGGACCATCTGTATTACACACGCACAAAAAGGAAAAGAGCAACAGTAGGAGAATCATCCCTGAAGGGGGAGTATCAATGACTGGAGTGAGGAAAATCAAATTTTAAAGTATGCTTTCCACTGTTCATATATAGTAATAACAACATAAATATGGTGGTTTCTGTTTCCTTATTGATTATTAAGGAATGTCTAAGATATATATGGTTTATTCCTGAACAGAGAGCCACTGTTTTTAAACATGTCTTTTTTAAAATTTAAAAATAATTATTCGATTTGAATCTAAAAATTAGTCCTTTGAATTTGTGGCAGAAACTCCACAAGTTTGGTATATTTTTAATAGAAACTGGAAACAAGTAGATGTAGAATTCTCAGAAAGATTGTAAGACACGGGAGTTTGTGTCTGCACTAAGGATTTTTATTCTCAGTGAAGTGAATTGAACATTATCGCTATTTCTTTCTTTCTTTCTTTCCTCCTTTTTTTTTTTTTTTTTGAGATGGAGTGTCCCTCTGTTGCCCAGGCTGGAGTACAGTGGTGCTATCCCAGCTTGCTGCAGCCTCCGCCTCTGGGGTTCTAAGTGATTCTTGTGCCTCAGCCTCCTGAGTAGCTGGGATTACAGGTGTGCGCCACCACACCTGGCTAATTTTTGTATTTTTAGTAGAGACTGGATTTCGTCATGTTGTCCAGGTTCGTTTTAAAACTCCTGGCCTTGAATGATCCACCCAGCTCGGCCTCCCAAAGTGCTAGGATTACAGGCGTGAGCCACTGCACCTAGCCCAACATTACATTGTCATTCAGTGAATTGAATATCAACTTTCCTTTTAACTTTCGAGAAACCTGCAGCGTTTTTATGTATTTCACGCATAAATACTTAAATCTGTTTTGTTCATCTGTTTATTCTCTAGTTATTTTTACCTTTCCTTTTCCTACTATTAGAATTTCCTACTACTAGGATCACATGCAAATGCCTGCCAAGAATACATTCAGATCTCCTACACAAAATGCAGGGACGTAAAAAGATAGAAAGCCAAGAAAAGGGAGAAAGGCAGTAGACAAAGAAACCAAGTGGATTCAGTGTCTGATATGTGCCAACTGCCCAGTGGAATCACTTTTCTCATTTTCATTGGACAGTTGGGTGGTTTGGGGTAGGGTTGTATCCTGAAAATGTCGATCTTAGTGGCTGAATGTAGACCATGTTTTCTAGTGGTACCTATTGTTTTTAAAGGAGTTATCCATATTCATGGATATTTTGCTTGAACTTTTCTTGTTCTTAGGGAATAAGATGATTAAAGTTAGATAATTTTTATAGTAAAATGCAGTTCTAAGTTAACTATTAGCGTTTGATTTTATTATAATGACAAATTAGAAGCAGTGAGCTTAACAGCATGAGCAAGGACTTTTAATATACTGTAATTTAAGAAAAATGGAAAAACCAATATAAATTTCAGTATTTTAAAAATGATTTTAAAGGTTTTTCTTAATAATTCCGATGTCTGAGTAAACTTCTTGAGAGAATAACGGCTGGTTTTCTTATGGGTCACCTCTTAGCAGCACCTCTCATCTAATCTAGTTGAATAGATTGTTTTTTCTCTGGTTTCAAGTTCTCTTAATGCTGTTTTCTGTTCTCAGTGAGATAACTGGGCCATATTTTCTTTGTCAGAATAATTGAAATATGTGATGCTATTTGTTAGAAAATATAATGGGCTTCCCTAGCAAATCGTTCCAGGGTATACTATCCTAATTTTATTTGACAAGGAAAGTTATCTTCATTATTTTATTGCCTTTAAAAAGCCCTCCAAAATGTGCACATTCTTAGAAGCATTCAAGAGGTATTCAGGATTCTCTTCTCTTTCCTGTTTTCTCTCTCTTTTGTTTCTGCGGATGAGGGCATTATAGTATGAATATGAACCAGAGGCTGGAGGGTTGGGCTTGAGGCCTGAGAGAAACCACTTCAAGGGCGGCAGGTAGGGAAGGAAGGGAGAGGGAGTTTTAGAAGTCACCTAAGAGACAAGTCATTTATTATATCCATAAATTACATTTGTGTGAATTGGGATTTACTGTAGCTCAGCATCCTTTCATATACACATGGACCATGTTTGCTAAATAGTTTGCAAAATGCTGCTTTGCAAATCCTTATCTGCATTGTATACCCTCTTTTCTACAAATCGGGTGGGAGTAGCATCGTATAGAAGGAGAGCACAGGTTTTAGAGAGTGTTTCTCAATGTGGTTTCTGAAACTCCTTCCTCAACAATGTCTGGTGTTCTTGCTTAAAGTGCAAGTTTTTGGGCTGCAGTATAGATTTGTGGAGTCAGTTTCTGGGTTCGAAGCAGGGGAATCTAAAGTTTTAAATAATCTTCCTGGGTGATACCTTGTGCACTCTAAAGTTTGAGAAACCACACTGCTTTGGAATCACACTAGTAAATGGTTTGAGCCTTTGAATACAATGTGAATGGTATCCTGTAGTTCTACCAGTACTCTATTAACAGGAATTAGCTATATGACAAGCAAACTATTTAAGTTAAATATTTCTACACCACTACTTCTGTGATTGTCAGTAGTATTTGTCATAGTGTTTCTGAAAGACTGCAAGGTTCCAAATGCCCTTTAAATCATTGGAGAAAGACTAAATCATGTTCACCATCATAATTGATGCTAAGCAGATTTGATTACATTTTTTTCACAGCCTTAAAAATGTATAATTTAAATACAGACTACGTGCTTAACAGTCTACAGATAGAAATGATTAACTCAGTACCTTATTTACTGAGTAGATCACATAAGAAAAGCTAAAATATATGTTAAAAATTTGTGATACCTTTGATTTTTTCATCCACTTTAGTGAGGTGTTAATAGGAGATTCTGCTGTTACCACAGTCATTGTTTTCCTGTACTTGTGAATGATTTATCATTGATCCAAGTATTGGAATTCCTTCTTTAAATTTCTAATGAAAAGTTTTGTTTGAAACTTCTGATGTGTTTTTTTTTTTGAGACAGAGTCTCACTCTGTCGCCCAGGCTGGAGTGCAGTGGCCGGATCTCAGCTCACTGCAAGCTGCGCCTCCCAGGTTTATGCCATTCTCCTGCCTCAGCCTCCCGAGTAGCTGGGACTACAGGCGCCCGCCACCTCGCCCGGCTAGTTTTTTGTATTTTTTAGTAGAGACGGGGTTTCACTGGGTTAGCCAGGATTCTGATGTGTTTTAAGAATTTTGCTATTTTTCCTGCTGACGTTGGATTCATCCATTGAGTCTTTCAGCATTTATTGAATACACGGTGGTTTTGGTAATAGTCTCTGTCTAGAAGTCAGGAAAGACTGAATATGCCACAATCCCAGAGTCATGGGTAGGAATGGAGAAAGGGAAGGAAACAGCAAAGAGCTGTAAACCAGTAGTAAGTGTGCAAGTTAACAGGGTCTAGAGCACAGCAGTTGGGCTTGGCAGAATTACACACACTTGGCTAGAATGTATTATAGTCAGGACCTAAACCTATATTCCCTAATGCCCCTGAGCCTATTTCCTTATCTCTTAGGTGGGGGTAAAGCCCCTATGCATAGGGTAGACAGGAGCAGTAAAGGAGAAAAATGTATGAAATAGTACCTGCCCGAGTAAGCACTCATTAAGTGATAGCTATATTATAAAGTATTATTCTAACAGAAAAATTAGTGTGATAACTTAAAGGAGTACATATATGGACTGTAAATAATTTTTATATGTATTTGTCAACTATATACAAACAGACGATTAATTAGAAATTCTGTGAGAAAATAGGTTCACATGTATAATGCTGGTTGCAAAATGATTCATTTTATTTACTATTTCAGGTACCAAAGCAGTCAGACTCACAGCCTAATTCTGATAACCTAAGTCGCCATGGTGAATGTGGGAAAAAGCAAGTGTCTTACAGAACTGATATTGTTGGTGGCGTACCCATCATTACTCCCACTCAGGTAATTAGGTAACTCTTCTATTGCGTGAGGGTCTAATTACTATATATTGATTTTTATATTATTAAAACTAAAACAGGGCATCTTTGCTGAATTAGTATAATATTCAATTACTATAAATATTTTTATTTATTTCAAAAGTATTTATTATAAAAAATTTGGAAATTACATAACGTTTAACACTTTATCATGATTTCTCTGAGCCTTTCTTCGGTGTACTTTTCACCTCAGAAACGGAGATATGAGTTGTATATTACACTTTGTAAACAGATTTTTTCACTTACATCATGAACATTTTCCAAGTCATCAGAAATCCTTTTACATCATTTTTAATGAGTGCATAGTAGTTCTTCCATGGATTTACCATAAATTATAAATCCTCTATTGGACAAATAGAGTTCCTTTTCCTTTTTGTTTCTTTTACTTTTATAAACAATGCTATGATGAATATTCTTAAAGGAGAAATTCCTAGAAATAAAATTACTGAGACAAGAGTTTGCAAGTAGTAATTTTTAAAATCTACTTTTTCTACAACCTGGCCTAAGTGAGCTAAACAGAGGACTGGGATTTTAACTCAGTTATATTTCAGAAGTAACCATATGCTAAATTAAGTATTTATTTGAGTTTTAGGAAAAATATAAATTTATGAACAATTTTTGATGAAATTAAAACTCTTGTCTGAGCTTGAATTTCTTGTTTTGCTGTTGAAAAGGTTGAATTTGTAATGGCTACTAAGTTACTGGTAGTTGAGAAAGCAATAATTTTAAAGTAATCAATTGGTATTGCCAAGCTTGGGTATTTTCATTACCAGTGTGCCTTTTGAACTTAAAGTAAGACTTTGACACTTTATAAATCTTTTAAGTCAAATTGTATTATGCCCCACATTTTTCAGGTCTTTTGCTATGGGAGGGTGATTAGTGGGATTAGAAATCTTACAACATTAATTAATTAATTAACTATTGAGTGCTTTATGCTTGGCAAAGGGTATGTTAATGAAGAAAATTGACAAAATGAACAAAATATGACAGCTCCATGCTGTCATAGAGCCTACATTTTTCACCAAAGTTGGATTAAAAAATGAACTAGAATTGTGTGTTTACTTTTTCCAAAAGTAATGATTTTAAACTATTAACCTTCTGGTTACTATGTAGCTAGATTAAGCTGCTTTCACTGGTATTATGACCTATGTTGACATAAAGGGTAAGACTATTTTCCTGTAGTTGTGTTAAGATATTGTATTAGTATCTGCGGCTGTTTTAATTTTGTCTAGAGTTAAGATTTTGTTGCATTGTAATTTTGGTATAGATATTTCAGTCGTTTCTAGGATTTAATGGGGGGGGTGTAATTTTAAAACTCTCAAAGAAGTTTATTGCATCATTTATTTTGTAGTATAGTTTTAAAAATTATAAAATAATATATATCTATTGTAAAAGGCAAAAATTGGTAAATTGGATCTCATCAAAATAAAAAATACTTGCTCTGTGAAAGCCCTTCTTAAGAGGATGAAAAGCTACAAACCAGGAGAAAAATTTGCAAACCACATGTCCAACAAAGGACTTTTATCTAGAACATAAAAAGTCAGAACCCAACAGTAAAAAACCCAAGAAATCCAGTTAGAAAATTGATGAACAGATATTTCATCAAAAGATAAAAGATACACAGATGGTAAGTAAGCACATGAAAAGATGTTCACCATCATTAGCTAGTAGGGAAAAAATACAAAGTAAGAGCACAATGAGAGATGACTGCACACTATCAGAATGGCTAAAATAAAAGTGACAACACAAATGCTGCCAAGGATGAGGAGAAACATCTCTCACGTGTTGCTGGTGGGAATGAAAATTAGTATAGCCACTCTGAAAAACAGTTTGGTGTTTTTTTTTTTGTTTTTTGTTTTTTTTTTGGTGGTTTTTAATAAAAGTAAGCTTGTGATTACTATACAACCCAGCATTTGCAGGCCTAGGTGTTTATCGTAGAGAAAGGGAAAATTATGTTCACATAGAAACTTGTGCGTGAATGTTGATAGCAGTTTTTTCCTAATAGCTAAAAGCGGGAAACAACTCAAATGTCCTTTAATGGGTGAACAGTTAAACAACTGGTCATCCATCCATATCATGGAAATACAGCAATAAAAAGGAATGAACTCTAGATATAAGGAACAGCCTGGACGAATCTCTAGAGAATTATGCTGAGTGAAAAAAGATAATCGGTAATCTCAAAAGATAACCTGTTTGTTTCCATTTACATTATATTTTCAAAATGTCAAAATTATAATCTTGGAGAACAGATTAGTGGTTGCCAAGTGATTTAGGGGTAGGAGCTCTAAAGTTTACAAGGGAGCCTTGGGGTGATGACCAATTCTGGGTCTTAAATGTGTTGGTAATTACACAGATCTACACATGTGATAAAACTGCATAGAACTGTATAGACACACATAGACAAATGAATGTGTGTAAAGCTAGTGGAATCCGAATAAAGTGTGTGGGTTGTGCTGATGTCATTTTCTTGTTTTTGATAATGTTATACAGTTTCCCTTTGAGGGGAAACTAGTGAAAGGGTACATAGGACCTGTTGTACTTTTTTTGGGCGGCTTCTGGTGAATCCGTGTAATTATTTCAAAATAAAAAGTTAACTCCTTCCCCAAAAAAGAGCACTGGTGGCAGGACTTGTGCAGAACAAGAGGAACAGAAATTTGTACTTTAATCAGTGACAGGAAAATTATGAGTAAGTATATCAGATTAATTAGAAAACCCTTCAAAAATCTGTTTCTAACTAATCTAAGGTGGATTTTAAGATTTTCTACTGGGATAGCATGAAATAAAAGTATGCTAAACAAGCAAGAAAATTATTGATTGTGCTTCATTTTAGAAAGAAGAAGTAAATGAATGTGGTGAAAGAATTGACAGAAATAATCTGAAACGGTCACAAAGCCATCTTCCTTACTTTACTCCTAAACCACCTCAAGATAGTGCAGTTATCAAAGCTGGATATTGTGTAAAACAAGGAGCAGTGGTGAGTAGCTTAACAAAATACATGAAATAATGAAAAAGGATTATGTTCTAGCAAACTCAAATTAACATGGAAATTGCTTTATTTTATGAAAGACCCAAAGTGAGAGACCAGCATGCTGAGGAGAGTCAGGAGATAAAATAGGGAATATTCTATGTTTGTAATTCAGTGCTGTTACTTGCTTGGTTTGCATGGGGCCAGGAAAGTTAATGCCCATTACCACTGACTTTCAGTTTAAATGAACTTTCCTAACAGTTTAATGTTTTAGAAAGTTTTTCTGTTGATCTCCACTCATCCTGGGAGTGGGTCAGGGAAAGAGAAAGTTTTTCTATTGATCTCCACTCATCTTCAGGAGTGGGTCAGGGATCGAGAGCTTTAGTGGGGAGATGGCAGGCCAGGGGCAGGAGAAAGAGTGGGGCATAGGAGGGTCTCTTCCTTGATTAGGCATTGGGCTGACCTCAGTGGTAAGCTTTCTGACCTTGGGCTACTTACTTAATCTCTCAGGCCCTCAGTTTCTGTCTTAAGGAATATCATATAAAACCTACCATTTAGCGTTTTGTTTTTGTTTTTTTAAGAGATGTAAATAAAAAAGGTGTGTTTCCCTTTGCACAGCACCTGGTACTTAGTAAAAGCTGTTATGGGTTAGCCCAGGTATTCCCACATAGTTCCATGATGAATTTTTTGCAAGAGCAAGTAAATTTACCAATATTTCTAAGGTTGCAACATACCTTAGTATTTAAGCCATTCTTCCTATGTGAACTAAATCTTTAGAATTTCATGAGAAAATTAACTGTGAAGTTTGGAAATGTTTAAGTCTGAGTAAAGAAATACTTAAAATTATTTTGGTGGTTCTGTTTGATTTCTCATCACTTTTTGGCAACTCTTAATTGTTTTAGGGCAGCCAGGGGAATGTCCTTTCACCTGTTTGACCTGCTTTAGGCTGAGGACAAAAATGCCGGTGAGGGCAGGGTTTTCTTACTGTAGCATGTCTACAGGTAGAGTCAGAATTCTCATCAGGCTGTGATGCTCTGTTGTGTGTAGATTGAAAGCCCTAATTTACACACAACTGAGCATCATAGCCTGATGGTTCCTTTTTGTTTTACTCTTAAGTCCAAAGTACCAGTCAGAGATACTTAAGTGCTTTTACAAGGACTATATTTTATTGACAAAAAATGTGTGTACAAAATAGGTTTACTTTATTAAATATTTAGTGCTTTACTACTACGTATAAAGTACTTGTGGAAGAATTCATGCATTTTTACAGATGGAGAAACTTGATGTGGTTTAATAACATTTCCTGTGTTTGCTCTTTACATGGGGCGGGCGGGGGTGGGGTAGGGAGTAGGAGGAAGGGGAGGTGCTTTAAAAAAAAAAAAAAAGTTTCAACACTAAAGATATGAAATAGGCTGGGCACGGTGGCCCACGCGTGTAATCCCAGCACTTTAGGAGGCCGAGGTGGGTGGATCATCTGAGGTCGGGAGTTTGAGACTAGCCTGACTCACATGGTGAAACCCTGTCTCTACTAAAAATACAAAAATTAGCTGGGAATAGTGGCAGGCGCCTGTAATCCCAGCTACTTGGGAGGCTGACGCAGGAGAATTGCTTGAACCCGGAAGGCAGAGGTTGTAGTGAGCCGAGATCGCGCCATTGCACTCCAGTCTGGGCGACAGAGCAAGACTCTGTCTCAAAAAAAAACAAAACAACAAAAAAAAAAACCACATAAAATCATACAATAAAAGATGAGTGCCAGGCACCAAAAATTGAATTAGGAATTCAAAGCCTGGGTAGCTAGAGAGGGATGAGGTTTAATTTATCGCATCTCTAAGGGAAGTAATGAGATTTTTTAGTGCTTGGCATGTCTGATTGTGGATTTGTATCAGGGTAATTAAGTGGTGACTAACATTTCACATTCTTAGAAACACAAGTCTTATGTCTGTGTTCATCTCTGGTAGATGAAAAACTGGAAGAGAAGATATTTTCAGTTGGATGAAAACACAATAGGCTACTTCAAATCTGAACTGGTATGTTGTTATGTCATAAATGTTGCTGTAAGAATGTTTGAAAAATGTTGCATTGTAGTGATTATATGTAATTTCTTGTACTGTTCTCTAGTTTTAGAATAAGTCTAGTTTTTAGAGGTACATACAGTTTATTTGGCTGTGATGCTTTTGGTTAATGATATTTTTCTTAAATACATTGTTAAGTAAAAAGATCCTGTCTTCAAAGCGGCATTCTACCTTGAAAGATCTGAAGATCTCAGAATCCTGTAGTCTATAAATTTCCGCTAAAGGGGCTGTCCTCTTGGGGGGTTCGCCCCACGCGGAGTACGGAGAGAAGGGCATCCACATGGGGAAGGGGTGGTGGCAGAGATGGGCGAATGGTCACATACACACTGATTGATAAAATCAGGAACTATGTTAAGGATAATAGAAGCCAAGTCTTGTCAGAGAAATAATACTTTTTGGTGAATGAATGTATATTTGTGTGTATGATGAGGAATTAGATATTTGCATAGTTTCAAAGTACCTATCTACTAAAATAGGTATTAAGTATTATACAAAGGCTGAAAAAGAGTAACATTACAGTGCCGAAAGAGGTGTAAAGAATTCTATCTGTAAAAGTCAACATTTAACCCTCTGTATTTCTACCTTCTCTTGAGATTTTCTTTACCTATTTCACATTGACTCATAAATCACTTCACATAAGATGTTTTTATCCTCCCTGAAGGTAGAATCAGAAATTGAAATTCCTTGTTTGCCTTGTTTGAGTTGCATCCTTATTTAAAATATTGTAGGGTGACCTGAGTCCTGAAATAGCTTTTTGGATAAATTGAATGCAATTCTGTAGTATAAATGTTTATCCTAACTCTTCTTTTTGTGTGGGACCTTTGAGAAGGGAACCTTATGCTTTATTTGAATGAAGTCACCAGAACAGCATTGTCCATTAGAACTTTCTGCACAAATGGAAATGTGCCGTATCTGTATTGTCCAAGGGCACTAGCTACATGTAGCTGTTGAGTGCTGGAAATGTGGCTAGTGTGGCTGAGAAACTGACTTTGTTTCATTTTAATTAATTTAAATTTACATCATTACACACAATGGCCACTGTATTTGCCAGCAGAGCCCTAGTGTATAGGAAGGGAATATTTTAAGATTCACCTCAGGAGTCAGCTCTTCTGGGAAGCTTTTAGACTCTGGGTTAGGTGTCTTCTCCTTATGTGCCCTGTGGTACCCTGTGCATACTTGTATCATAATGTTCTTCCCAGGGTTTGGCAGTCACGTGCATTCTTGTCTTTGCAACTAAATTAAATGAGCTTCTTAAGGGTAAAGACTCTTGTAGTCTCTTATGATCACAGGGTCTGGCACTTGGTAGATAATAAGTGTCTTTGAATAAATGAAAAATGGCATAGCATAGCCAGAAGAGTCATTTTAGCATGGGGCTTTCTCAAATCTTAAGAGCCTCAACTGGAAGTAGTAGTTTCTTGGTTCAGAAAGTACCTGCCTTGTTGTCTCAGAGGCTACATTTGTGCTTGGTTAGCAGGTTGTCTCATTGATTTTATTTAATGCCAATACTCCTGGGAAGAGTCATTCATGCAACAGACATTCATTGAGCTCTCCATGAACTTGGTGCACTCTTCTGGGAACTGGAAATAAAAGAGAATAATTAGCAAAGTTCTCTGGCCTTCAGGAGTTCAGTTTTGATGGGGAAATTGACATGTGCCCCCATCATCAACAGTAGTTTTAATAATTCGGATTATTTTTAGTGTTTAGAAATTGCAGATAAAGCCGAAAACCTTTAAAGGTCAGTAATTATAACTATACTTAAATTTTCCTAATTTTACAGGGTATAGTTTATTTCCTCTGGTAGTTCTTTGTTCTTCCTCTCAAATTTCACAGAATAATGCCCAGCATACAGGTTTTCAAAACTTAGTATTTCTGTAATAGTTCTTGTCTCAGCTCCCTGTCCCCCAGTTTTAACATTTCTGAAATCTTAACGGTATGTCTTAGAGTTGCTAAGGGTGAGGGGCAGCCAGGCTGCAGCTGTGCTGTAGTTGACTGCTTGCCATATGCATAGTACCTTTGGGTAAAATCCAGAAGACACGGGCATCAGCATGTGCAGGAAAGGGTGCTGGCAGCTTGGGAGGAAATCTCAGGGACACCATGAAGCATTCTTAAATGCTGCGTCACCAACACTCTTTTTGGCACAAAGAATGACTTGGAGTGAAAAACATGGACATTGGTGGCTCTAAGTCAAAAAGTGATTCAGAAGAGCTGGAATCTGAATGTGAAATCTTAAAAACTGTAACCAGTTTATCTTGTTTATATTTTTCTTTTTTATATATGCTCAAGAATAATACATGATAAAAATGTTTAAAGTGTAAATGGGCTCTTTTATAAAACCTTTTCGTCATGGAAAAGTGTAAACATACACTTTCAGTAGACAGAAATAATACATGGAACCTGCATATACCCATCACCTAGATGTCATAATTGTTAACATATGGCTCAGCTCGTCTTGTTTCTTCTGTTTCACCACCCACCTCCTGCTTCATATTTTGAGTCAAATCCTAGATATTCCATTTCATCCGTAAATATCTCAGTGTGTATCTCTAAAAGATCATTTAAAAAATTTAAAAATAAGTATAAAAGACTTAAATGCACAGCCGAAAAACTGGTGAAAATATTTGCAACATATATTAGAGATAAAACTTACAAGGAATCTTAAAAACTGAGGGGTTTTTTCCTCACCTCCTTTGCCCTCTTTTCCTTCCATCAATCCCAAACAATTCAGACCCCTGTTTATTAGGTGAGGCAAAGCAACATAGGCATCCAAGAGGGACCATTGCAGCCTTGTGTGGGTGTCAGAGCCTATGCAGGACAAGGAGGCTCTCCTCTTGGGGGGTTAGCCCCACGCGGAGTAGGGAGAGAAGGGCATCCACATGGGGAAGGGGTGGTGGCAGAGATGGGAGAATGGTCACATACACACTGATAAAATCAAGAACTATGTTAAGGATAATAGAAGCCAAATCTTGTTCAGAGAAACAATACTTTTTGATGAATGGATGTATATCTATATGTATGATGAGGAATAAGATATTTACATAGTTTCTAAGTACCTATCTACTAAAATAGGTATTAAGTATTGTACAAGGGGGAAAAGAATAGCATTACAATGAGGAAACCTGGCAGATACCACTTTACTCAGGTTGGTCAGATGATTAAAGTGAATGTCATTGGTAATGAGATAAATTGAAATCACCTGACAGGGCAGCGGAAGACGAAGACAGCATCACTTCTGTGATACCCCTGCCCAAGGTATGTAATCAGAATCCCATCATGAGGTACACCCAAATGAGGGAAATTCTACAAAATAACTACCTTGCAGTCTTCATAGAGTGAAGATTATGAAAGTCAAGGAAATAATGAGGAACTGTTCCAGACTGAGGGAAAGAAAATATTTGACAAGCAGATGGTGTTCGTGCTTCTGAACTGAATCCTTTTGCTCTAATAAAAGACATTTTGGGCACAGTTTTCTGATTTTGATGATTGTATTGTGATTATGTAAGAGAATGTCTTTGTAGGAAAAGTATTCAGGGGTCGTGTGGGACAGGTCAGCAACTCACTCTGAAATGGTTCAGGAAAATTAGTTCTTTGTGCTGTATTTTCAATCCTTGTATAAATTCATGTTTGTTTCAAAGATTAAAAAAAGAGAAAATGAAGGGGAAAATATCTGGTAGGCAAATGAACAAAAGACATGAATAGACAATTCATTTAAAAATTTAAATAGATCTTAAAATATTTTAAAAATTCAGCATCACTGATAATTAGAGAAATGCAAATTAAAACTGCAATGAAATATTCTCATCTGTCATGAGAAGGTTGTGGCTGAGTGAAGAGATTGGCAAATCCCTACCTACCCTTCCCAAAAGCAAGTGTAAATGCCATTCTGTAAACAAAAGGAATCAGGAACCCTTGGCGATGTGACTGATTTCAGAGTTGGGGCGTATAAAGTACAAACAGCTCAGAAAGTGAAGTTGTGCCAGAGAATAAGGAAGTGGCTTAGAGAATGAATGGAACATGTCAAAAGGACACAGAAATTACCTTGAAGGGACTGACCAAAATGCAGACAATTTAAAAACAAGATAAGTAATTATAGTAATGGAATATAACCCATAGAATAAAATAAGTCGTGAATAACTAAATGGAGAAGGAAAAATATTTCCTTAGAGTAAAATTCTATTTAATATATGTAGATGGATTGATGGGGTTAGAAAAATCACCATTTGGCAGCCACTAGTAATGGTTTCAAGCAAGAGTTTTCAGTGTTTGATAAAACTAGTTGCAAAATTATGATGGGAAACCTGGTATTATTACAGGCTCCAGGTATCTCCCCACAAGATACTTAACAATGACAAAGAGAAAAAGTAATTTTACAGTTACTGGCAAACATGGCCTTAAGCAAGAGATCAAGGTTAACACCCCAGTGACAGGACAAGCCACCATTGGGTGTGTACGTCCTAATAGTGGTCCACTGAGAAGAACAGTGTCATGCCTGTGGCTTCCTGTCAAAAATGTATAACCTGAATCTCAACACGAATGTCAGACAAACCCAAACTGGCAAGTGTTCTACAAAAATAACTGGCCTGGACTTTTTTAAACTCTGAAAAACGAATGAAGAACTATTCCACAGTTAAAGGCGACATGACAGCTACATACATGGTATGATCCTGGATTTAACTCTGGATCAGAAAATAGTTTTTGTGCTGTAAAGAATACGAGTAGGGCAGTTAATGAAATCTGAAGATGGTCTGTAGAGTATAGTATTGCATCAGTATTGAGTTTCCAGTTTTCATAATTGCACTGTGGTTATGCAAGGGCACATCCATGTTTTAGGAAATACACACTGAAGTGTTTAGTAAAGATACATCATATTTACAACTTCAAGCATTTCAGGAATCTATATATATACATATACTCTCTCACACACATATATAAACATAAACAGATAATGATAAAGCAGATGTAAAATATTAACAGCTTAGAACACAAGGTGTAGGTTATACAGAAATTCTTTGTACTATTTTTCTAAATCTCATTAAGTGATAAATTATTTCATAATTAAACTATTTTGTAAAACTTTTTTTAAAAGATCTATGATTTTTTTTTTAAAAAAAAGCACTCCTGGCTGGGCGCAGTGGCTCACGCCTGTAATCCCAGCACTTTGGGAGGCTGAGGTGGGCGGATCACCAGGGGTCAGGAGTTTGAGACCAGTCTGGCCAACATGGTAAAACCCCGTCTCTAATAAAAATGCAAAAATTAGCTGGGCGTGGTGGCGGGCACCTGTAATTTCAGCTACTTGGGAGGCTGAGGCAGGAGAATCCCCTTGAACACGGGAGGCAGAGGTTGCAGTGAGCCAAGATCACGCCATTGCACTCCAGCCTGGGCAACAAGAGCGAAACTCTGTCTCAAAAAAAAAAAGAAAGCACTCTGTCATGGTTTAGTTTTATTTTTGGTGCTACATAAAGTAATGATATGTCTTAATTTCATGCTGTCATATTCAATGAAATATGTATATTGTATTTTATGGAATGTATACTAGAAATACGCTATTAGGAACCAGTTTTATTTTATATTTGTATCTTATATCTACTTTGTAACCTTGGGTGAGATACTTAACATGTCTAATCCGCAGTTTCAGCTCATGAATAGCAGTATGTGTGTTGTAAGGTTATGGAACGTATGAGATAAAAATGAAAACCTAGCAGATGTCTCAGCACTTAGTAAATGTTCAATTTTGTATTTATATAAAAGTGATATTTGTAAAATAACAAATTTAAGTCAAAGAAGCAGGATGTGCATTTGCTCTGCTGCCTTGTATATCAAAGTGACATTCCGGAAAAGGAGGTGCTGCGCGTACTGGTATGTGGGTCCATCGGGGAAAGTCTGATGGCTACTAGCTTTTAATAAGCTACACTGCCCTTAAGGTCAGAAATAACGTGAATAAGGCCCGTATGCAGTTTTTCTTCTTTTAAACAACAGTGTATATAAGGTTATAGTGTTCGAGCTGTTCAGATGCTGGATGGTTTAAGAAGGTAGATTTATTTCTGAGATGTGTTTCAGCAAAGAAGTATGATTTTCACATGGGTCTCCAAATAAGACAGCTAATGTTTGAAAGGATTTTAAGAATAAACATCATGTATCTGGTTTTTTTTTTTTTTGGCCAGGAAAAGGAACCTCTTCGCGTAATACCACTTAAAGAGGTTCATAAAGTCCAGGAATGTAAGCAAAGGTAAGGAACCACTCTGACTTGATGCCTGGTACAACTTATAAACACAGAGTAGTGCCTTAGTTTGAGTAATGTACTTACAGATTACATTTTTCCATATTAATTGTAGTTATTTTTAACTCTTTATAGTTGAGATATGCTGGAATTTTCAAAACCCTTAGATTGAAGTATTGAACTGTTCTGTTCATTTGAAAACTAAAAATTAGGAAAGAATCCTTTATTTGTTTCTTTGAAAGCTAAAAATACTATAACAGCTTATTAATGGAAAGGAATAAATTTAATGTGAACAACTTATGGTTAGACCCTCAGATTTGACAAATTGATGTATTAATTTTAGTGTTTAAAAGATGCAGTAGAATAGAGCTTTACAAGAAAATGTGTTAACTGTGACAGTGTTTCACCAAATTGATTACTGAAAACTCTGAACTTTAAAGTTGCTTTATGAACTTTTTCTAAAAGTAAAACTACATAAAATATGTAAAATCTTACATGAAAATAAATGGGAAAAGATAATTTGGATTTGTCAAATCAGTACTTTACCTCCTTTATTTATTGACACATACTGGGTACTGGGTAAACAAATGAAAGAGAAACTGTCAAACAACTGCTATTTTACTATAATTGGATTTTTTTTTTCCATACAGTGACATAATGATGAGGGACAACCTCTTTGAAATTGTAACAACATCTCGAACTTTCTATGTCCAGGTAAGATACTTATTTGGCAATTAATAGATCCTCTTGACAAGAAATTAATAATTTTAGAGGTGAAATAAGCATAAATAAGCAATTGAGGTTAAAAAAATATGACAACTGTAATTCACCAGCTTAATAAAAGGATGCTATATATAGAGTTATTGGTGGGGTTATATGTTCAGGAAGTGGGAGTATTTGTTATGAATTAGTGAACTAGAACTAAGTATTTAGAGAAAGGGAAATGCTTTTAATTTAGATGTTAAGTGTGTACTTTCAAGTTGAATTATTTTTGCACATATTTTAGAATTTTGATTTTTCGATTATATCATTTTTTGGTAACCTTATTAAAAAAACCCATAGTAAAAGTAGACAGTAGATCTATATAGTTTCGCTAATACTAGGCATCCTGTATTTAAATTGTACTTTTTGCATACCTCATTGAATTATTTAAATGGAAAATTTTAAAAAACGATTTGGGCCGGGTGTGGTGGCTCACACCTGTAGTCCCAGCACTTTGGGAGGCCAAGGCAGGCACATTGCTTGAGTCCAGGAGTTCGAGACCAGCCTGGGCAACATGGCAAAACCCCATCTCTACTAAAAATACAAACATTAGCCAGCTGTGGTGGTGCAGGCTTGTAATCCTAGCTACTTGGAAGGCTGAGACACAAGAATCGCTTGAACCCAGGAGGTGGAGGTTGCAGTGAGCTGAGATCGTGTCACTGCACTCCAGCCTGGGTGACAGAGTGAGACCCTGTCTCAAAAAAAAAAAAAAAAAAAAAAAAATCAAAGGATGATTTGTTTTTGTTTTATTGAAGTTAAATATGCTTATTCCAGAAAACTTGGAAAATATAGAAAGATTTCAGAGAAATGTGGTTTATAAAACACTCAGTCCCATATTGAGGCAACCATTCTTATGATTTTGCTCCCTTTAAGGTATATATTTTTATAATAGGTGGGATCATACTAAATATAGTGTTATATCCTATTTGTTTCTTATGTTGTTATTTTTTTCCCATGTCATTAAAAGTTATCTGAAAACCGTTTAGAACTGCACCATACTCCACTGTATTGATGTTCCACTAGTAAATTGTTTCTGTATTACTCTGTTGCTGAACATTCATATGCATAGTTTTTGTACATTTATTGCAATAAACGATGTGATGAAAAACATCTTTGTGCATTACTTTGCCTGAATTATTTAGGGTAAGTTTCTAGATTGAGATTAACTATCAGAGCATGACCCTTTCTGTTTTGTCAAATTGATTTCTAGAATTGTATTTCCATTAGTAATGAATGAAGTATACTCTACCTTTGGCTACTTTTAGTTTTTTTTTTTTTTTTTTTTAAAGTCTTTGTTAATATTACTTATTCAAAAATGTCCTGCATTTTAAATTTTTTCATATTTCTAGATTCTAGAAGTGTAAGGGATTCTAGAATCTAGAAACAAGAGGCAGTATATCTGCAGCCCCCTTGGGGCCTTATTTACATAGTAAGGTTTAAAATTCACATTGAAAGCCAGACCTATCTGTCAATACTTGTTTTAGGCTTTAGAGTACTACTAGAAATTATTTCCAGAAAAATAATATGTAAAAGAATGTCAGAATTTAAAAAAATTACATAACTACATAAATATTCTTGTAGCGGATTCAGACAGTGTAGCAGTAGATAGAGTGAAATAAGAAGGGTTTTTCTTTGCCTTCCTCCTCTCCTTGTTTTCTCTCTGGAGGTATTCATTATTGACGCCTTTTGATGGGTCTGATCTTGACATTGAAATGCTCAATTTATGTCTCTGCGTAGTTAAGACCTAGCAAAACCTGGCTTTAAAAGATGATTTCTAAATTTTTTTGGAAACAGTTGCCTGAGAGTGATTTTATTGATGACAGTATTTAAGTTACCAAAATAAATACATTGGCTTTATAGAAGTGGAAGGTGATTTTGAGGAAAAATTGTTTGAATGAATTCTTTTTTCCTTTAGGCTGATAGCCCTGAAGAGATGCACAGTTGGATTAAAGCAGTCTCTGGCGCCATTGTAGCCCAGCGGGGGCCCGGCAGATCCACATCTTCTGTAGGTTTCCTGCCCTCTGGGGTGATACTCCCTTGGGTGCCCTCCATCCTGTTAAATTGTTTTCCTTCCTCTCTCCCAATCCACCTGGTTTCTTTCTTTATTGAGATTTATTTGCATATTGACTTTTGTACCAATTGAACTTGCAAAAAATAATGCATTTCTAATTTAATGCTTCGTTGTAGTGTTACGTATACATAACTTTCTGTGCATTGTATTGTGTTAAATGCACAAGCAGGGCAACTAAAGAATAAACATTTCCTTGCTTTGTTTTAGGAGTTCTTACTTGTCAGTAGCTCTAGATTTGGCATAATTTGACAGATTCTTAGTATAATGTGTGGCCTGATCATGTAAGACTTTTAGTTACACAGTTTTGTGAACATCTCAATTTCCTCTTTACTTCCTCTGATTTCAGTTCAGGTTTTTTTGTTTTGTTTTGTTTTTTACCTTTGGCTTAACCATGCCATAAGATCACTGAGCAGCTAGGGCCTTAAATGCAGTTCAGTGCTCTCAATGTTTCCATTTCATGTTTTAATTCTCATCTTAAAACCTGCTTTAAAAGCCTGCTTCTGAAAACTACCATAATTATCTTTGTGGTAGTATGGTAATAAAATTGAAATGCAACTAAACATTCTGCTCAGAAATATTTTTTAAAAGATTTTTCTTGTATTCAAGTACATAAGAATTAGATTTGCCTTTGGAATACTTTGGCCACTGATCTCAGATCTGAAAATTTAAAGTATCTTAAAATGTAACACTGCCATCTGCACAAAGTAGTCTCATATGTAGCATGATAGCCTTTATTATCTAGATTGACTATGATATATATGCTAGATACTTACACTTTTAATATTTTTTTCTGATAGTATAATAACACTGCCTTTTATTTTCTGGTAGTGATAACTACAGATAATAGAAATCAATGTTTCTGATTTCTTAATTGTCGTTCTCTTTATATCCTTTTTGAAATATCTAAGAAGTCACTTTCCTAGATGTTCATTTTGTAACTGCCTGTATTTTATGTGACTTTTTCAGCAGTCAAGTATGAGACTCTCTGCAAAAACAATGTCTGTTGGGAAGAGGAGAAGTTGGAGAAGGATGTTTGTGTTTTGTGCTTTGTGGTGGGGGCAAATTGGACTATCTAGCTATGACTGTCAGCAGAACTTTCTCTTTTCCTCCCTTTACCCAGTATAGGTTAACTCTAATCTTAGCTTTGCACTGTGTTCCAGATGCGGCAGGCCAGAAGGCTGTCGAACCCTTGTATACAGAGGTATACATCAAGAGCTGGTGAATGCAGCACGTATGTGGGCTCTCACGCAAACGTGCCTTCTTAGTGGAGGGCCCAGACTTACTCACTACTTACAACTGATCATAGAAAGTTGAGTTAACCAAACTGCCTTTTGCAGTTATCATAACTGATTTTGTCAATACTAACGCAAACTGTTTCACTGTAGTCATCAGGTTGGATATGTGTATTTAAAAATAAAAATAAAACATACAACTTTACTAACAGAAAGAGACATTAACATATAAAAATTAATATACTCAACTGCTGCAAGAGTTTCAATTTCTATATTTTATGTATTTAAAAAATTTTAAGATATACTATGAAATGCACCATTGTTCTAATAACATATGCAAACTAATGCATGCATATGCATTGGATAAACTATACATTACTATAGTTTGCATGGCATTTAAAAATCTCTGAAATTTAGCCATTAATAGGACTCTGTAGTGTTTTGGTAATTTGTAGCACTTTGATTTCAAAGGCACTGGTATCATAAATGAATATAATATACTAGTACATAGCAATGTATTTAGAATGGTCATATTTAAGGATATCTTCAGATTTGATCTAGTTAGAAGCATGTTGAAATTAACATTCACAACTGATAATTATTTCACCACAGTTTAAAATATGATAAATGTGTACCCTTTGTTACCTTTAAAATATTAAGCCATATGAATATGTGACCTATTCAGAACTAAAATTAAGTATAGAATGAAAAGACTGTGTTATTATTGGTTGCAGTGAAATTCAGGGAAGTAAAAACTAAGTCTTATCGGCAAAATAATGTTTGAAAGATGTTGATTCGTGCTTATTAAAGAAATATGGCCTTTCATTGTTATAGGCTGTATTTTCATTTTTTTTTTCATTCTAAAATATGTGGGATAATTCCTAGTGTTGACTGAGAATATACTTTTAAATAAAATGATACAACTGGGAGGTTCTCTTTTAAACACAGTTCAGTTGCAGCTGGAACACTGTATTTCAGTTTAGGTTGGCTGAATCTTCAAAGTGTCATAGGCTGCCAAATTCGGCTTTGGTGACGGAACTGGTTTCCTAGTGGAAATGGTTTTTGGCTATCATTGCTTTAAACTCACCTCTAAAAATGCATTGCTTTGGGAAAGAACTTGCACATTTATGCTGCATGGCTTCTGCTGCTGCCTTGTGTGTATGTGTGTGTGTGTGTGTGTTCTGTTTGTTTTTCAGAGAATCAGGTCTCACGCTGAGTTACTAACCTGGTCATTAGTGATTGACTGTGTCTGACTGTCACTCCTTTTTGCAGGAGCATCCCCCCGGTCCTTCAGAATCCAAACATGCTTTCCGTCCTGCCAACGCAGCCGCCACCACCTCACATTCCACAGCCTCTCGCAGCAACTCTTTGGTCTCAGCCTTTACCATGGAGAAGCGAGGATTTTATGAATCTCTTGCCAAGGTCAAGCCAGGGAACTTCAAGGTCCAGACTGTCTCTCCAAGAGAACCAGCTTCCAAAGTGACTGAACAAGCTCTGTTAAAACCTCAAAGTAAGAATGGCCCTCAGGAAAAAGATTGTGACCTGGTAGACTTGGATGACGCGAGCCTTCCGGTCAGTGACGTGTGAGGCAGAAGTGCACGGAGCCTGCCTGCCTCTGCTGTCCTCAGTTTCCTTTCATGAGGCTTCTAGCCAAAGATGGTAAAGGGGAAAACGGTTTTTAGTGCGTATATTATACTGCCTCTTAGGTGTACTCTTTATAAGCTGGTAAACCAAGAATCTAGGGAGTGGCCAAACTAAATATAATTTCTTTAAAAAAGAAAGAAAAAGGAAAAATCCAAAATATCTCAGTACTCTCTGTCTGAAGCATTGCGTGTTCTCATTCGGGTGGTAACAATGTATGTGTAATATTTTTTTCTTAGTGATTTTGACAATTTAAATGTTTAACAACTTAAAACATTAAAAATGCTTATTAATAACTTTGGTCATTTAAAAAATGCTACAATGACTTCCTATTAAAGGTTCAATATTTACACATTCTTATTGGTCAATATTACCACATGAAATATTGCCAAACCAAGATACCTAAACTCATGATGTTTGTGGTGCTGTAAAATTTATACAACAATGTGGATGATTTTGAAATTATAACCATTTTTGATGCCCTGAATCTTGAGGTGACTTATTTTGCATAGAGGATATTATTAGACCAACAGTAAGGGTTGTGGGTTATATCAGCATAGAGAAAAGAAGAAAACTAGAATTCAAACAACTGTGTCTTAGACATTTGTTTGAAAAAGCTTCATCAGGCCTTGGAGCAGTCAGTGCTTTATTCAGCAAAAATTATTTGGTAGGAAATTTTTGGGAGATCTGATTTTCTTATCAAAGTTTTGTAAATAGTTCTTATTTCTATATTTGGATTGGTGAAAGACCTCAAGTTTATATGTAAAGACATAACTGCCCTTAGTCATGAAATTGTTGTGACCTCTACTTTTTGTCACTAATAGCCTATATTCAAGTGCCTGTGTTTTTTCATCTTGTTTAGGAATGTTTTGAGATTAATGTGCTTAAAAGTCCTACGTGACTGGTTTTAAACATTGGGATAAAATTAATTTTCAGTAGAATAGTTTAATGTGTTAAATAAGATAGCATTTTATGTTAGAGATACCAGAATGCTGGTATTCTACTACCTGTGCAATATATTTGTTTTAAAAAACAAATTCGAGAATACATTTAATCATAGGGATATAGACAAAAGCACCTCTCTAAAGAATCTTTAGTTTCTGGTGTTGAATTATAGACCAGTTTGAGTAAGTACTGTTTGGTTTTTGTTTTGAGACGGACTCTCGCTCTGTTGCCCAGGCTGGAGTGCAATGGTGTGATCTCAGCTCACTACAACCTCTGCCTCCTGGGTTCAAACAATTCTCCTGCCTCAGCTTCCCGAGTAGCTAGGATTACAAGTGCATGCCATCACACCTGGCTAATTTTTGTATTTTAGTAGAGATGGGGTTTCACCGTGTTGGCCAGGCTGGTCTCGAACTCCTGACCTCAGGTGATCAACCTGTCTCAGCCTCCCAAAGTGATGGGATTACAGACGTGAGCCACCGCACCCGACCCATAAGTACCGTGTTTGAGGTTCAGTCTTAAACATTTGCTTTAAGAAAACAGTCTTGAATTTCACATGCTGCTATTTTTATATTTTGCCATTTTACAGTACTGTTTTGTTTTGAATTCATACATATCACTGAAAATTTCTTGTTTTCATTTTCTTAGATGACTTCTTGTCTGAGACAGAGAAAAAATTTCCTACTACAGCAGTGGGGTCCAGAGGTTAAGATATATTAGAATTATACAGTATCGGTTTAAAAATCTGTATGCATAAAGAATGCACCACTCAACTTTTTTATTCATAAGCTAATATTTTTTTAAAGTTATATTAGGATTTTTTCTCTTTTGCAGCTACATTTGAAAGTGATAGCGTAAAGAGATTTTAATGAGTTATCACTTTTTCTGCTGATATATTCATTATAATGGCTTTTTTGAAAGTTCCTTTTTCATGAACACACCCGAGAAATCTTAAATATAGACACTTTGCAATATTTCTAATGCTGTTTAATTTTGGTACAGCTTCCACATTGCATGTTCATTTTAGCACATTTTGGTATTTGCAATTTGATATATTTCATGGTGGCAAAATATTAGCTCTATTTTGGGACATTTAAAAATAGAACTATCCTTCTTCAATAGCATAGGAAAATGTTCTTGTGATTGTCAGGGTCTCCTAATATTTATCTCAATTCTTTTATAAGTCTATGGAAACTATTTAATTATTTTCAAACGTACACACTTTTCTTGTAAATATGTCACATCTGAGTTAAAAAAAAATACTTTGAATACCTTAATATTTGCTGCATTTTTTTCCTGTATATATAACATGTCTTCTTTCAGAATGGGAATATATGTGTGCCTCCCAACATTTACTGTTAAAGTCTGTTATCTTTATATGTCAAACTGGTTGAACACTGTACTGACTTGAGAATAAACTGCACAGAGTTTATTCTGACTTATTTCTCATTTTGTTTGGTTCAGCCCGTGTGTGAACAAGTAAATACAATTATTAGGGATGTGTTTGGTTAATTGACTTCAGTTTACATATTTAAGGACTGAGTAATTATTTGGTCATCTTTGCAAGAATAAGAAACTTCAGATCTGTGAATTCTTAAGGCATCCCTTCATGTGAAATTATAGAAGGAAAAATGTTTTTTTTTTTTTTTTGATAGGGGAAAGAACTTGCTTATTTTTCTTAATTAAAAAACATGTTTTCAAAAGCAAAATTATCATATGTTAGCCTCAGAGCATCGTGTGAATCATCTGGGCTGCTTACAGTGCTCCGTGATTATTTAGACGGCATGATGTAAGGCGGAAAGCAGAGGGCATCTTAATCTTCGGGTGGGCAGTTGAGATGCACTCAGAAAACTGCCAGGCGTTAGAGGCTGCTCCTTGCAAATGTTGCCTATCGGTGATAAATGTTACACGTCTGTTGCAGTGAACACCATATACAGGGCCTAGTGCAGTGCTTGGTGCACAGGGAAAGCTTAAATACTTCTCTAGTGAGGACAAGGCATTAATGTAGAATGTGTGAACATTAGGGAAAAGTATATACCTATTTGTTAAATCATACTTTTGAAATTCTGGAATATTCTTTCCTTAAAGCAACTTGCCTTCCATGATTCGAGATACCTTCTTTTGCTTGTTGTGTCCAATCCATTGTCAGATCCTGCTGCTTTTCCCTGGCATGTTCATACCTTGTCCTCTGAAATTTAGCCAGCAATGACTTTGAACCAGTATCTCTGCTCACCTATTTATGTCCTGTTGGGGCTCTCCTGGACTACCCTATTTCTGTCATTGTGCAGGTTGGGTATCAAAGTAGACATCTTTATCTGTTGCTTTTTCCTGAAAAGCTGAATGACATCTTAAAGATGAACTAGGCCAAGCCCCCACCATCAGTGCTAACTGAGATAGATTGAGACCCCAGAAAGGAGGAGGATTTGCCTGGCCCGTGGGGCACATTAGCAACGAAGCTGTAACTGTTGGCTTCTCACTGTACTCGGGAGCATCATTAGGATCTATGCTCAGGGTGTAGTTAGAGTAATCCAGCCACATACACCGGTTTGCTTCCTAATAACCTATGGCATTCTGCACCTCCTCTCCAAAACACGTTGGCTTAGTGTTCGTTTTTTTTTCTTCTCAGTCTCTTTTTCTGAAGGCCATTTGTTGTGTGAAATGCTTTATTCGTCTTAGACCCTCAGATCTCTGTTGAGTCAAGTGACTTGTGAATGTCTAGCCATGCAGCAGCAGCGTATGTACTTCCTGTGTGTGTTCTAATATGCTGCTTCTACAAATGGATGGAACACATTTGCCCTAGAATGCAAGGACCTTGAGGTTTGTGTCTGCGTTTCACCTGTTCGGTTTTCCATAGTTCCGTTAGACCACGGATATGTTTATGTTTGGTACCCCTTTATTGCAGCATGTTCAGCACTTTCAAAAAGGGGAGCATTTAGTATTTGGTTCTATTTAGGAAGAGCTTTTAATTATTTCCAAGAACTTTTCTAGGTTTAGCAAATGAGGTTTTAATTTTTTAGTATGACCTATTTTTCTAAAAGATGATTTTCTTACCAAAAGTGCCATTGTATGTGTAAGCCATGTTTTCTTGTTCACGCCAGCCATGGGAGGTGCTCATAACCTGGGTAACAATTTCAGTCATACTTGTCCAGGAGCCCGCTTCCTTGAAAGTGACTGATGTTCCAATGTTCCTTTCTTTCCCATTTTGTCTTGGACACCTGATTGTTACCATGGTGTTTGTCCACTGCTGCTGTAGTCTTGTTGATGCTGCTCCAAGTAAGTAGCTGTGTTTTATGGTTATGTAAGTTTTATTTAAAGCTTATTCCTGGACAGATTTTGTCCGTTTTTGAAAATATCTAACTAATTTGACTAGTAGAATTAGGCTAACAATACATGGTTCAAGCAAAAATATTGCCTTTTATAATGACAGTTTCTTCTTGCCTAGTGTCTCATTGATCTGAATATAATGGCTATCTTAGACCCGGCGTCCTGGCGTCTGTCTTCAACTCTAGTTCTGCCGTATGTGACTTTAGGCAAGTGTCTGTGTTTTAGAATTTAACTTTCTATGTTATATAAAATGGAATTGGATAAAAGCTATCTCTGTCTTGGTAATTATTATTAACTGATGCAACTTATTTTTTTTCCTTTGAAAAGTATTTTTTAATGTTTTTATCCTAAACGCAAAATAAGGGAAAGTTGTAAACATTTTTGCTTTAACAAAAAGGAAATCCCTTTCTTAGCTTTTCTTTCACTTCTAGTTGCAGTTCAAGAATTTTCTGTAAGTGGTGCTTGTACCTTTATCAAAAGTTCTGTTAACAGTTGGTGAGGCAAGAAATATTTGTATCAAAAAACAAAGATATGACTAGCTTAATACCAAGTCTGTGTTTAGAAGTTTATATAGGATTTGTATATGTTATCTATTTTTTAAGTGATTAAATTGTATGTTTTAAACCTCAAGTAAGACACACGTTGAAAATATTGCTGAATTGAGGCTAGCATTTACAATTTTGATTGATGAAATCTGTATTTTTGGATACATTTAATGGTGCCTTTCAGTAGTATATTCATGTGGTAACAGCGCCACCTTCTGGTTATATCATTGCTAAATTTAAAATTTGGTAATTTGGAGTCTGTTTATTGCCTCCATCATAGAAAATTAGAGAAGATATGTGATTGCCTAGGATAGTTTTGAAATTAATACAAAAGTTAAACCAACATTTAAAAATTATAATTTTTTAATATATAAATGACTGCAGGTTCACATGTAGTTGTAAGAATTAAAACTTTCCGAACTTTCAAAATGGGGAATATTTAGTATTTGGTCCTATTTGGAAAGAGCTTTAATTATTTCCAAGAACTTACCTGGGTTTAGAAAATGAAGTTTTGGTTTTTTAATTATGTCCTGTCAGTTTCTATTTCTGTAAGGATAATGTTGACCCACACGCCTGTAGTCCCAGCTATTCAGGAAGCTGAGGCATTGGAACACTTAGCTTAGGGGTTTGAGATCAGCCTGGGCAAAATAATGAGACACCATCTCAAAAAGAAAGAAAAAGAAAAGATATTGTGTACCCTTTACTCAGTTTTCTCCCAACAACATCTTGAAAAACTAATACAGTATTATAGCCAGGATACTGACACTGATACAGCCAAGATGCAGCACAGTTCCATCATCACGAAGGTCCCTCTTTGTTTTCCTTTTTATAGTCACATCCATCTCCTATTCTACAGGCTTGGAAACCGACTTAGCCACTTGTCCAGAGTCACATTAGACTTGAAATGTATCTTTCTGATACCAAAGTTTGGGCTCTTAATATACTACTTCTACTGTCTCAGTAGAAGTCTTACTTCCAGATTACTAAATGAGTTGAACTCAATCTGTTTTCAACATTTCTAGAACCATTACTATTTCAAATGACAGATTATTTATACATACCTTTAAATTTAACATTTGAGAATCAATAGGTAAGTATCAAACTACAACTTCCCTGAAATTTCAAGCCCTGACATTCGATAAATAAGGTTGCCAGAATAAATAGTAACAGATTAAAATAGCCTTAAGATGCTGGATGCTTGCTTTAGAAATAGCTTTAGGGCCTGGTTATAAAGATAATCACTTGGTGTAGGCTAACAGGTTTTTGCCACGTGGAGAAGCTTTGCCCTGTTGGAGTTGGGTCAATCGGTGTCTTCAGTGGACAATATGCAGCACACAGGAGGCCCGAGAAGACGACAAAGATGTCCGCAAGGAATCTGCCAAAATATAAAGTAATATGTGATAAAATCTAGCATGGAAAACTACATGTCAGAGACCGAGATGGCCCGTGGGTGATGATGGTGTGGGAAAGATGAGTGTTGTGATGGAGAGGGCCTTTTGGGGGGTCCCATAAGAGAAAGAAGTACTTCTAAGTAAAAACCATGTGACTATAAATTTCTAAATGTTGAATCAGGGATCCAAAGTGATGGAGAAAGTTTAAATTGTTCTCTTAAGGCTCCATTGCCTCTTTTCCTCCCAAACTGTAGTATGTATACCTCTCATGCACGTTTTCTTTAGCGGGGAGGAAAGGAGGGGATGTAGGGAATTTTCCATTGTCAGGAATTTACAACAGCCTTTTTATTTTTATTTATTTATTTATTTTTGAGACAGAGTCTCGCTCTCTCGCCCAGGCTGGAGTGCAGTGGCGCGATCTTGGCTCGCTGCAAGCTCCACCTCCCGAGTTCACGCCATTCTCCTGCCTCAGCCTCCTGAGCAGCTGGGGCAACAGGCACCCGCCACCACACCCAGCTAATTTTTTTTGTATTTTTAGTAGAGACGGGGTTTCACCATGTTAGCCAGGATGGTCTCTATCTCCTGACCTCATGATCCGCCCGCCTTGGCCTCCTAAAGTGCTGGGATTACAGGCGTAAGCCACTGCGCCCAGCCTTTTTTTGTTTGTTTGGTTTTTTTTTTTTTTGCCTGTCTTTGGTACCTTATCTGGATCAGATATGGCAAGTGAAAGGAAGGGAAGAATTAAGGGTAATGACAAGGTTTTTGGCCCCAACAACTAGAAGCCATGAACTGAGGTAGCAAAGACTGCAGGTAGAGCAGCTTTGATGGAAAAGATGATTGCAGTATTGGTTGCAGTATTGAATGTTAGGGTTGACGTGTCAGACATCCAAGTAGAAATGGCAGGCAGGCATTTGGATATGCAGATTTGGAATTGAGAGAAATCATTATTGGAAATAAAAATGTGGGCATCTTCAAAGTATTAGGTGCTATTGAAAGCTTTGAAACTGGATGAGATCACCTTTAGAGAGAATGAAGATGAAAGAAGAAAAGAGAACCATGGAATGAGCCCTGGGGCGCTCCAATATTAAGAGCTTTGGAAGAGGAGGAGGAAGTAGCCATGATGAATGAGGTGGTGTGACCACCACGTCAATAGGATATCAAGAGTACGTAGTGTCTTA